TACGGTCTGGAATAACAGGAAAACGCGTTTGCGGTCTTCAAATTTTCTTAATTTGCACAGGGGGTGGGGGTGGGTGTCCTACACGGTACGCTCCGCTACTTCGCCTCTCGCAGACGACCGGGACCGCTGTCTGTTACCAAAATTTTTTTAAGGTTCTGCGCGCCCACACTTAATTCATCGAGCACGCACGCCTATGCATCATGGGACCACGTTATGTATAAATTTATCTGATATCTCTAGATGTATCCTCTTTATATCATATATTATTATTGGCTTACTTATTCACCAAGGAAGTTACTTAAATATCTATTTCAGTTTTAGACATGTGACGGCGTTGATGAGCATAAAAGGTCTGACTATATATTCATTTTATTCGTGCAAATCATGAGAGACCGTGTTAAAAAAGGCAAACAAACTGTTAAAAAACATCATTGATATTGATCGTTACACGCAATGACGTCTAGTTATTATAGACGTCTATAACCCTAAGTTTTAGTATTTGAATGAAAATTTATTAAATTTAAAACAAAAATCAAGTGAAAAGAAACGAAAATTAAAAATAAATTTTAAATCCATGTAAAAAAGGGGGAATCCAATTTAAAGAAAACAATATAACGTGTGGCCTGATTCCCATGTGTACGAGTACTGCAATTTCATGGACGAGAACTGCCAAGTGGACTAACACTCGCCTTTTCAGACAAAGATAATAAGTTGCGACGTTTTTCACTTCAGCTGGCTCTATCATGTTTCCGCGAGTGGAATTATAAATGTTCTTCATACAAAGGCCTGCAATTCAAAATGTATGACAATGAGTTAAATGGGGCTATGACCACAGGTGTTACAAATGTGTGATATGCTTTACTTTTTATAGAGAGATTTCCCGAATTGCAAATGGACCGTTAAGAGACGCATGATGTTTGGCTTGTATTTCAACGATATCCCAGTAGACAGGGTTAGCGCTGTCGTTGAATATGAATTATATGCATCAGGAAAACGTCCATGCACAAGAAAATTCGCCAAGTGTATGGTCTTTTTGTGTCTAGAGATACTGTGCACAATCTTATGTACGATCTTGATCCAGGTGCGGATTAAGTGATCGGCCGTCTGAGCGGGTAGTTATGACCCCAGTGACGGGGGTTCGAGAGCCCTTCCTAAGAAAATTTTAAAAATTGCATCACCGTAGAGCACTTTTCTGTCTATTTACATGTGTAGATACAAACTGGAACCGATAATTTCGTTGCCCAAATCTATCTAAGGAAAAACAAATGAAATTGGTTTAATATTTCGTGTCTTGTGCACCAATTAATTGAACAAGACGGGTATACTTCATGCAATGTGCTATGACGGGTCAGTTTGCGTTTCCGTTTCTTCTTCTTCGAAGTCCCGGTGTTAGTCTCGAAATTGTAAGTGGTGGTGGTCTGGCGCATCTAGTTTTTCGGTTGGGTAAGATAAACCGAGGCGTGCACGTAAAATAAACCCAGATTGTTGGAATTGGCCGTAGCCCCACTGTACAGGCACAATTACACATATCGCACACTTCTCATCAACCTGCTTGATGGACAAAAGTAGAAAAGTTAACCCCCATGTTATGGACATACGGATTTATAAGCATTTCAATATATGGAGGATTCTAATAATAAAGTAGTTCTGCAATGGTTAATCAACCACTCACTTGACAAAGTGAAAAGTTATTTCAATTGTAGATACTGAATTCAAGCATTTGGGGAAAGGAAATGTTTGAATATTACTTGTTGTTACCCTTGTAAAAATTTTAAAAAATATTGAAAATATTACATGTATGGTCATAAATAACTTTGTTCGCCGGCAATGGTATCACATTCCATATCTTGATCAACGATAGAGACAAAATCTTTTTCACAGAAACGCTTTGTCTATTCTATAGCAAGAGAAGTGCCGTCGTCTCCTTCCCAGGTGGTAAGAAACTCTCGCTGGGACCAATTCTTGTGTACTTTTGAGCTTTGACCATAAGCGTCAGATTTAGTCTTCCGATAACCGTTTTCTTTTGACGCTTGCAATTGGCTTTCACCTTTTTTAACAACTGATCCCACGCATCTACCATTTTAACAAGACATAACTACTGTATATATGTGTATAAAATGCTGATATAAAAAATTGGCTAAATGACAAAATTCCAAACGTAAGTTTGACAAAATTCCAAACGCAAGTTTGGCAAAATTCCAAACGTAAGTTTGGTCATGGACCTTATAATTGTTTGGTTATCACTGCTTAAAATGGAGTAACTCTGACATGGCTGGAAGTGGCAGTCCTTGTTCATATGACAATATTGGCAACAAACCATTGTATTACGTGTTGTTTTCGTAAGAGTTTTTATTACGTGCTTGCGTATACGTACCTTCGGTACGAAACACGCTTTGTTTTGGAAGCGTTTTTATTTTGTTTTTTCTTCTCGATTTTAGTCAGAAGTTGCAGTCAAAACAGTGCATGGTGCAAATATTTTGAAATCGTAGATTTTGTTGGCCTCCGCGGAACTTTTTTATTAAATTTAAATTGGATCATTTTTGACATACCGGAATAGTTTTACGGATAGTACAAAACATTGACCATATCTCGGTTATTTCTGAACAGATCTTCATGTTTTGATTCTTTGGACAAATCCCGAAGGGGCTACAACTGACGGTTCTTCAGCATTTATTCGACATTCAAGACGACATTATCTCTGTCACTATTTCCTCCATTTTGAAAAAATAACTAAAAATCACATTATGGTCGTCTTAGCTCCTGATACCGCCTTTCATTTTTAATGACCGTGTTCCATAAAATTTTGAACCGTTTGACCGTCATATCGGATTTTGCAACAAAAAAAAGCAAAAAAAAGCTTCAAATCCATATTCAGCAGCCATTTCCTAGTATCGATTGTAGTTTACGTACGGATTCAAGGTGTTGCCAACGTGAAATAACCTTTCATTCGATCACTGATAACAAATAGATCAGCGTTGATTTTGACTAAACGCCATCCAGGTCATTTCTATGAAAACTTTAATTATATTCAGTGCATGTGCAGGGTGTTTGCTGTTGGTGGATATAGGGATAAATCTTAATACATTTCGCCGAAACACGTCAGTACTGCTTTTGCTCAGTTCTAGTTACGTGTTTCGGTTCCCGTTTTTGCGGATTTTATTCAAGAGTTTGCAGCCAAAAATGTGCATGGTGTTGCCAACGTAAATATTGTTGGCCTCCGTGGAGCTATTCATTAAACATAAATTGGTTCATTTTTGACCAATAGGAAGTGTGTTACGGACGGGACAAAAAATAATTCCATAATGGATCTGACGGGCGGTTTTTCGAAATTCGGAAGTTCGCTCTATTGCATTGGTTTTAGCATCAAAGATTTCTAAAGTTTTTTCGGCATTCATTAAACATAAATTGGCTCATTTTTGACAAACAGGATGTGGTTTAGGCCTACGGACGGGACATATCTCGGTTATTTCTGAACAGATCTTCGTCGGGTTTCATTTTTGGATTCTTTTGACGAATACCATAATGGATCTGACTTCCGATTTTTCCCGAACATGAATAGTTCTCATCATTTTGAAAATAGACTAAAAATGACATATATATATATGTTGGTGTTAGCCCCAGATATTATCTTTCATTTCCAGAGACCTTGTTCAAGAATATTTTTAACCGTTCGGCCGCCATATTTGATTTTACAAAAACCTTCAAACCGATTTTGATTCCGAAAACCTTTTTTTTTTTTTTTTTTTGAACCTGCTCCAAGTGGCAGTAATTCTTAGGGGGGGGGGCGATTTTTTTAATTTTGATTTTGTTCACTTCCGGTTATACTTTGAAAGGTTTTTGACCCTTTACCTTTGCATATTTGATGACCCTGACGTCTACTAACAACTAGTATCAAAAAATCAGTCTTAAGAGTATAATTTCCGGTTTAAGAGTTCAAAACGACAGGTTATTTCACTTTAATAGGTTTTTGATGTTACTATACTCAATAGTTCATGGTGCACCTTGATCGTTAACGTGACAAAGCGTAGTTTCGATTGAATTTGATTATGTATATATGAATGTATATAAACTGATTTACATTCAATGGTTTCCGTTTTTACTCCAATTTCAAATCAGTTATGTTCGGTTATCCCGACATTGTTTCTGAATGTAAATTATACCGGTGGTAGCGTATAATACACGCCGGGATAGAGTCGATAAAGCTCTCCTTTGTTTTAATGTTTATTTAATAATTTATATTCATGTTCAGTCGCCGTCTTTTTAATAACACCTTGACCTTGTCCAAAACATCTGCCGTTTGCAAAAAAATAAATAACAGCTACAATAGTGGAAGGGGATCCGTGTTTTTCTTCGCAAGAAACGAGTCAAAGACCACAAAAAAAGGAAACTCGTGGTTGGTTGGGCACGCATGCGCCCACTTCATTCGAGAAAAATACGCTGGTTCGGGCCATTGGCGTGTTCTATGTTTAGAAAGGTGTTTTCCGGGATTCAAATCGAAAAGTGATTTAGGTACTGGTTAACTGTAGATTTTGTGTTTAATTCTGATTTTTAAGTGATTCGATGAATAATTATGGATAGTCTGTTGGTTTGTAAGAAACTTTACATTAGTTAAAGAAAGCATACTTGAAAAGGCACGTCCATGTGTCCTGATGTATGTTTTGACTTGCCTTCTCTATTCTATTTTTAGAAGTGGTACTCAGTGTCTCAGTGGTAGGTCATCTGGGTTTTCAGCATACCCCCGCCTCCGCCTCCGCCTCCTGTCAATTGTGCAGGACGGATGGCCCGGCAATGGACAATTAATATCATATTCGTCGTTCAGATGGAACAAAAAAACGCGATCCCATCCATGTAGGCCTACACATTGGCATGCATCATCGTGCATGATCATCATGATCATGCATGTAAAAAGAACCCATGGCATTGGCAAAATTTCCCTCATAACACACTGTATAGCATATGCCGGTTTTAGGCAAAATATAGAGCTTGTTTTGGGTACTTACTTCTGTAATTAAAATTGTTTCGGCTAATTCTACTAACTGCTGCTCTATAATATTAACTGTAACACTTGTCTAGCAGTATGGAAAGTCGAACGGCCTGAAATAAAAAAAAAGGGTAGTATTAATAATTTACAATTAATACACAAATTTATATTATAAACCCAATTTTACATTATAAATATAAACCCAAATTTAAAATTACACTTGATTTAAACTTTGTTACAGATTATTCTTAACAGCTAGCATTCTCCAACTGATAATTGTTGTGTCCAACAATTGTTATACAAAGTCTTATAATCATTATGGTACAAGATACATTGTCCCGAAAGTATTGGGTTTCCAATAAAAGTATGGGAAGTTTAGTGTATGGAAAGTATAGAGACACCCAATCTTCTTACTAGAAAAATACTGAATCACCCGAAAAACACCCAATAGGGAGAGCACTGGTCAAAAATGTCAGGGTAACAGACCCTCCCCTCCCTCAATGAAGTTAGCTGACAATTATGATGTCTAACAACAGTTTATTTATAGCTTAAGTTATCTCCCCACGAAAACAAAGTTTTGAGAGGGATTTGAAGTAAATTTGTGATAGATTAATTAGTTTGAATTTGTTTTTAGTCCTGCAATAGGCAGATTTATCACATACATAATACATCTTTAAAAACTGCAACTCAGGATAAATGTCAGACTCAATCATCGTAGATCACTAATTATCGGCAAGATTTTAATCTGAATGGTTTTCTCTTATTTTCAGTATGGCAGCGCCTAGTTTTAGGTCTGTAGATCTACAGAGTGTTGACCTGAGTAAACTTCAATTTGTCAATAAACTAGAGCCGAGATATGAATGTCCAGTTTGTAAACTTGTTCTCAATAAACCGATGCAACTGGGCTGTGGTCATCATGTTTGTGAAAAATGTCTGAACAAAGTATTTGAGAAGGGAGATAAAGCTACATGTCCTATAAATGATGATGAATATTGTAAAGACTTATCAAGGAATGAGGTAATTTGGTTTAATCTCTTTTTCTCAATACAATAATTCGGAAATTATCTGCAAAAGAAAAATAACAAAAAGTAGTAAAAGATCTGACCAAGATAAGTATATGGAATAAACATAATATGGATCTATTCATATTTTCTTGTTTCAATTATTTTATCATTATCACACTTCACTTAATGTATGCTGATTAGATTTATTGCTGTAATATCTAATATAATATATTTTTGTAGGTGTTTCCTGATGCCAGTGTTGGAAGAGAAATACTTAATTTAAAAGTTTATTGTACAAATAAAGAACATGGCTGTAACCATACGGATTCTTTAAGAAAAATTCAGGTTTGTATAAAATTCATTGATGGTAAAATGGGAGTTATCTCCCTTGAATTTGAATATTATTTTATTTCAAGTTCAGACATGATATATTTTATCACATTTGAATTTGAATATTATTTTATTTCAAGTTCAGACATGATATATTTTATCAGTTGCATTTGTTGAGCAATCATATTGAATAACTTATTTCATTAAGTGTTGTGTTGTGTTTATAGCAGGTTTAGACATGTATATAATAGATCAAATCTATTAATCAATTTAAAGACTCGCGCACTAAAAGTTACGAAAACATATCGAGGCTATCTTTTAGCCAATCATATTGGGTTATTTCCTACGTATAGATTACTTGTGTATGAATCAGGAATTATTTCCTGATATAAGCTTATAGCCATTAGAACTGTTCTTCAAAAGTCAATAAGGATTTTGGTTTTAATTTAGGTCTTAGGACCAATAGAGAGAGAAATGGGGTTTTAACGTCCACTTGACACAAACTAGTTCATTTCGGGACTACATGTATTCGTGACTTATATAAACACATAGTTATTGATTAAGTTTTGTCACTTGATATAGTTTATTAATAAGTTGATACGAATATTTCCTGTTTGTACAGTTGTGAAACTGAAACTAAGCACTTATATGAGCCTATTGTTTGCTAGTTAATGACTATTTAATGACATTGTAAGCTTTGAACTTCTCACCATAATAATAAAATTATCAGTGGGGAATCAATTAGTAACTAAGGAAATATCAGTAACCAATTTATGCAATTTATGTAACAGTATAAAAGCCACACACTGTAAGATATAGTCCTGTACATATTATTACATTTAATACAGTACTTATACTATACATTGTATCTGCACTCATTATAGTGTCAAACTCACATTGTGTATAATATTATGCATTGATATAGAATGATAATATAGAATAATCCTAATCCATATAACAGCATGTTAAACACAAATGCTAATGGTTACCTTCTGTTTGTTGTTGTTACTTTCTGTTTGTTGTCGTTGATAATTAATGGTTACCTTCTGTTTGTTGTCGTCTGTTTTCCCAATCACATTCAAGGTAACCTTGTTGGTCTAATTTATGCAATACTACTGCGCATGTTCACCTCACGTTTTCTGTTCAACCTTGACATTGGCAACCAGTGTCAATAACATCACTCTTCGTTGTAAATACACGAGACAAATTAACTGTCCTGTACTCGATAACAAATAAGACGACTATAAGAATTTTAATAATCAGTACACATTTTTTTTTTATATATATACTATTCAAAAAAAGTAGGGGATATTTGATTTTTAAGTGTTATTAAAGTCACCTAATGAAACTGACGAAGAAACAAATGACAAAATGAAATGAAGTTCACATTCATCGATTTATTCCAAATGATCGTTAGACTAAGTAAGGCACAGACTGACCATTATAAGGGTAAAATGATACCCGGGGTCAAACAGCAAAGTTACCACAGCATCACAACCAAGTCAGTAACGGGTAAATGCTCCTCTGTTTGCCAAACAAGCATTGATCAGACGTGGCATACTCCTAATGAGACGTCTAAGGTCATTTTGGTCCAGATTGTCCCATTCCTGTTGCAACGCAGCAGCAAGTTCTTGGACATTGGCAGGACGTTGTTGACGTTGACGTAACCTCTGTCCAAGCATGTCGGGACATGCTCGATGGGGGAGAGGTCGGGACTCAGTGCTGGCCAAGGTAATGTGGTGATGTTCTGTTGTTGGAGGTAACCTGTAACGATCCTGGCCCTGTGACACCTTGCGTTGTCATCCTGGAAGATGAAACGGCGGCCATGACGTCGTGCGAACGGCACAACATGGACTGCCAAGATGTTGTCCCGGTAGTACTGGCCTGTAACACGCCCTGCAACAACATGTAAAGCCGTTCTTCCAGCAACAGTGATGCCTCCCCACACCATAACAGAACCACCCCCAAATCGATCATGTCTGATGACGTTAACGTCTTGGAAGCGCTCGTTTCGACGACGCCACACCCTCCTATGTCTGTCCAAAAAATCAACAGTGAACCTTGACTCATCTGAAAACATCACATTGCTCCAGCGTCGATTATCCCAGTGTTGACGATCCCTACACCAACGACGTCTTGCCTGAATGTGATGATCTCTCAAACAAGGGATCACGCGAGGACGTCGGGCGCGAAGGTGACCCCTATGCAGTTGATTCCGAATCGTCTGGCCACTCACTCTCACACCAGTGTCTGTTTGAAGACGAGCGCTGATCTGATTTGCTGTGATGACACGATTTCTCAAGGCCAAGGTACGGATAAATCGATCCTGGGCTTGAGTTGTCGCCCTTGGTCGACCTGAGCGTGGTCTATCCTGTACAGATTGTGTATGACGGTATCTGGACCATAGCCTGCTTATGACAGACTGAGAAACATTCATCGTCCGCGCCACAACCGCCTGTGTTGTGCCGATCTGTAGCATGCCAAGGGCACGTAACCTTTCATTTTGGGTAAGCCGACGCATATCAAAATTTGTTTTCTGGTCACTAAAACAATTAAACTGATGTTTCCACCCTGGAATTCAATGCTTCATTAAGGTTTTATTTGCAATCTATATGCAACAGTAGCCTACAAGTATACCTAAGTGTTGAAAGTAAACAGTTAGTCAATCTTTCCAGGGAATTTGACTTCAAAGAAAAAAAAGCTGTAAATAAATTTGGCACGATTCCAATTTTAGAATTGTTATCAGATAAATAAATAAATAAATATCAGTGCAGTAAAACGTAAAATTAATATGAGCAAATAATTAATGATTTAATGTGATATATTGATAATTCAACTGTCCTTAATAAGGCCTTACAAAACAAATATTCTGATTCGTAGTAAATCCTTACCAAAAATCAGATACATTAGGGAGGTTTTTTTTAATTTTGTGTTTTTATTTTGTCAAAGGATCAAGTCACTACTGGGTTTAATTAATTCTCACTTGACATTGCAGGGCACTACATTTTTCTCGTCATGTTATTTATGGGAATGTATTTTTATCTAATGTCAGTCATGACTGTCACTAACATTTATCAGTGTTGCGTACCCATCAATATTTTGCTTCCTGTAACTAAGGGAAAATATTTATTAGATGTAAATAAATTTTAATTACATCTAATAAATAGTTTAAATGACTTTGTTTTTATTTTTAATTTTTTGAAATTGTGACAGAGGAGTACCTGAGAATTAAATATTTATTTTGTATAGCCTGAAATAAAATTGATTTATATAATCACTCTGATTAAAAATAGATGTTATTTCCATTCGGGAAAAGCAGAATTGTACCTGACTGTCCTTCCATAAGATTAAGTTTAAAATGATAAATCAAAAGAATTTGACAAAAGTTTTAAAAACTTAGGTGTGCACATAAAAAAAAATCCTTGACCATTGGAATTCAAAATAAGAATAGGACATGGCTATGTTGTCCTGACAAAATTTTCCTCATTGCATGGAGTATGTCCATGTGCAGAAAAGTAGAATGTTAAATTGATTATTGATTTTATTTGATATTTTCTCAATTACAGGATCATTTGAATCAGTGTCGATACCAAGTAGCAAAATGTCCGAATGCAGGGTGTACTGAAAAAATACTTAAAGAGAATTATGACGAACATGTGAAATCATGTCCTTATAAGAAGATCAAATGTCCAAGATGTAATCAAGACTTCCCTAAAATCAAGGAAAAGGTATGATATAAGGCATGAAAATTGGGACACGGTTAAAGAGTTCCGAGTAAAGTTCAATTACAGTGTGTGGTATAAGATACATGTACCAGTATAGTACTTTGATTCGTCAGTTATTAAAAGGATGACCAAGAAGATTTTTTATACGGCCATTTTGAAATGTGTAGAGTCAAAAATTCAAATATGGCATGTGGTCGTATAATATCACGCCAATCAAGGCTTCTTTTACATGCACACCAATGTGTATATTCTGTTTTCTATCCCATCCAAATGACTAGACAGCTGTCCTTCTCATGTTCTCTGTCCTGCACCACTGACAAGGGCAATACTCAGCAGAATATCCTGAGGAACTTTCTCACAGTGGTGAGCTAACCCTAAACCTCTTTATTATCTAGACAGAGTACAGACATTAAAGTGTAGAGAAAACGTAACATGATAATGTCTTTATTTAAGACGATTAAACCAGTTTTATAATTTATTTGCTTATAGGAACATAACGAAAAGGAATGTCCGGAGGTTGAAGTTCATTGTCCGTTTAAATGTGATGCACCAATGATGAAGAGAAGAAATGTTAGTATATGTAAATCCAGAATTAAAAACCATATATTCACCATGGCACACGCACTAATTAAAAACTTGAACACAAGACACAAGCTTGCCATGCACTTTTGAAAAGAGATCTACAGTGATTTAGAAATCACTAAAATAATATTTACAGGATGAGAAAGGGCGTCCTTAAGCCTATAACTGTCATTACGGTATTAGTCATGTTAAGGATGTGTCGCGTTTGTTTAAATAATTGATCTGGTTAAAGTTTACTTTCTAATGAAATCCACTAGATTATCAATGAAATCCACTAGATTATCAATGAAATCAGCTAGATTATCAATGAAATCAACTAGATTATCAATGATATCAAAGAGATTATCAATGAAATCAACAAGATTATCAATGAAATCAACTAGATTATTAATGAAATCAACTAGATAATCAATGAAATCAACTTCAGTCTAAATAAAAGTGTTTTAAAGGAAAACTTGTTTCTAGAAGATGGTCAACCTGAATTTACATGTGTCACTTTCAATGGTCTGCATGGTGAATATACTAGGATGGTGAATGTGGTTTTTGTCTTATTCTCAGAAGATACAGATTAAAAAATGAACATACTCCATATTAGATTATGTTAGTCCCAAAATTGTCTGGTTGCGTATTAGTTGAACAGAAAGGAAAAATGGCTGTACTTTAATCAATATCACTTTATGAAAGATGTATAAGCTTACAGTTGTAAGATTTGACCTTGGTCTAGGAGTCACGTCAATCATGCTTATCTCCCTTGGGTTATTTAAACTGAGGTTTTTTATAAAGCACCTTTCCAGGTATACTTATAGAATCTTTGAAAAAGACACTTTATGAAAATTTATACAGTAATAAAATAGAACTTGTCTATACATCAATCCTACTTATCTCCCTTGGGTTATTTTATCTGGGGTATTTGATAAAACATCTCTTAAACATAGCAAGAGCTAAATCTGCCTATTGCAGGTCTTTCTTTAGGCCTGAAATGTTATCTAAATTATTAATTAGACATTAATTAACTGATCCAGGCCATAATCAACTCTCGATGGCATCAGATTTCTCCGATATTGAATACGGTTCAGCCATATTTTGATTTAAGCTAAAAATGGAGGAGCAAGACTTAGCTTCGAACAACCAGTACGGTGCTTGAAATTATTGCACACGTCTTTTCAAACATTCAAAGGCTAATATCTTTGCTCGCAATAGAGTAATTTGAATGAAATTTACAAATAATTCATTTTACATTATCTACTTTTGAACTATTATAGCAAGAATGACTAGCTATTTATCTAAATCTTACATAATGTATCTTTAAGGTATACTTTTTATACGCCCACATTGAAATGTGGCCGTATATTGTCGTCACCCCCGTCCGTCCGTCCATCGGTCCGGCGTCCAAAATTGCTTGTGGACCCTCTAGAGGCTAAAGTTAATAATGATTGACTTTAAATTTATACATAGTGTTTAAGGTCACGAGACGAAGAAGCCTATTGATTTTCAGCGATTTCTGATAATTACTGTCAGACTTATGGCCCTTGATCACTTCAAAATATCTTGTGGACGCTCTAGAGGCCAATGTTAATATCCGATTGACTTTAAATTTATACATAGTGTTTAAGGTCATGAGACACAGAAGCCTATTGATTTTCAGCAATTTCCGATAATTACTGCCAGAGTTATGGCTCTTGATCACTTCAAAAAATCTTGTGGACACTCTAGAGGCCAAAGTTAATATCCAATTGACTTTAAATTGATACACAGTGTTTAATGTCATGAGACGATGAAGCCTATTGATTTTCAGCAGTTTCCGACAATTACTGCCAGAGTTATGGCCCTTTATCACTTCAAAAAATCTTGTGGACGCTCTTGAGGCCAAAGTTAATATCCGATTGACTTTAGATTTATACACAGGGTTTAAGGTCATGAGATGAAGAAGCCTATTGATTTTCAGCGATTTCCGATAATTACTGCCAGAGTTATGGCCCTTGATCACTTCAAAATATCTTGTGGATGCTCTAGAGGACAAAGTTAATATACGATTGACTTTAAATTTATACAGTGTTTAAGGTCTTGAGACAAACAAGTATACTGATTTTCAATGAATTTTGATAACTTTAACAGCTATATTCCATGATATTAAATGTTTCGTATACTAAACATTAGCATGGGACAGAACTTTATAAAAACCAAACAAATTCTAATGATTTTCTGATAATTACTTCATGAGTTGTTACTCTTAATCAGATTTTAGTGTATAATAAATTTTTCATCACCGAAAGAAAGTAAAAATGTGCGACAACTCTTGTTGACTGCCCGGACAATTTAGCTGCTGTGGGCGTATGTTTCGTTGCCTGGCAACCTATCTTTGAATCTTTGAACAAGACACTTTATCTCTGTATTGCTGGTAATATAAGGTGTGTTTGTTTGTATCCGTGGTGATGCACCTAACCATCAGTTTGACAAAATAGAATTGGCTAGTTGATCAGTTATCAGTTTGGTTAGATGATATAAAATATGTCAGTGGAGGAGAAGGACTAAAATCTGGCTTTACCTGTAGCCTAGAGAATGGGGTAATAATGTTCAGCATTTCAAAAATCCCCTTTAAAATTTTCATATAATCACACAGATGTTGATTACCATTTAATAACTATTATATTTTATTTTTTAGTTGCCCCAACATTACGAGACTTGTGCCAAAAGACCTGAAGAATGTGGCTATAAGTTTTTTGGTTGCACAAAAATGGTAAGCTATTTTATTTAACAGCTCATAATCATTGTCAAAATTAAATGAAAAAGACTATCTTGCAATTGCCAACTAAAAGATAGGGAACTTAGGGATTAGAATCTATATGGTAATTATTTTGGGTTATCACTTATATTCATAATGCTTTGCAGTAGTTCATCATATCCTTGTTATCTGGGAATATAATATGATTGTTCTGTTTTTGAAAAAGCATATTGATTTAAAGTCTTATTACCAACCCCACAGATTTTCTTTAAGAGTTCATTTATGGTCTGGAGCCACGGTGGTTAAGTTGGTTAGATGCTGGCTCACTAGCTTGGCTGGTTTGGGATCGCTCCCTGTGTTGGCCAAGAAAGTTCTTTGGGATTTCCCGAGGATGGTTTCCCCTTGTCAGTGGCGCAAGATGAAGGCCCTTACAAGGACTGCTGTCTAGTCATTTAGATGGGACAAAAAACCGAGGTCCTGTATACACATTCGCATGCACATAAAAGATTCCCTGGTAGTTGGATTTGATATAAGAGTAGGCCCGAGTGCCGCTGTCCAGGCAAAATTTCCCTCATAGGACAAAGTATGGCGTATACCTGCTTCATTAGCCCAGTCGGAACAGAACAATATGACACTAAACCCCATTTCATTTCATTTATTGTCTCATATAAGTAATAAGATCAATTTCAACATGTATTCCTGTAACTGTATAGAGACTTCTTGGTGATCTGAGAAACTACAAAACACATGGATCTTTGTTCCTATATTTCATGGATGTATTGAAGTTGCAGTATTTTTGTGATCTAAGATTAATCAATCATCTTAGATCATAATCAATTTTGTTTTTATGACCTATAAGTGTTTCTTCTATTGCCCACATATTGAAAAGAAGAATGCTATTTCATTACCAGAGTTCTTTCCCTTTGTTACAAAATCTTGTTACCATCTTAGAAACTTTAATTATAATCTGATCTTTTTGAACTTGTATGTGTTCTTTAGCTGATAACTCCTTGGAGGACTTTTTGTAATGTTTTATTGCCTGGCAACCTATATTTATCATTATTTATTCCAGGGGTCTGAATTTGAACTAAAAGAACATATGACCAATGATACTGATAAACATGTTGAATTAATTGCAGTGTATATAAGTGAGAGAGATAAAAATTCCACAGTAGCACAGCATGCTGTAAGTTGATTTCAATATATTATAGGAATCGCATGAGTTTAACTGTGTCGTATTAAGAGTCATTATTCATTAAAGCAGGCCAATTAAGTGACATAAACTAGGTCATTTTGGGACTAACACATGGTTCAATTATATTTGGGGGTTTGGGGGCTAATGGTTAACACATGTGTGTTGGATCAGAAGGTCTGTCATTGAGTCAAGTGGCATGGTTTCGATTCCCGACTTGTACGTGACAAAGAGTAGAGTTGCCTGTCCAACCTCTTGGGTTTTCTCATGGTCCTCTGGTTTCTTCCCACTGCTAAAGACCCTGGACTCAATGACAGACCTTACGATTTAAAGCGCATAGTTTACGCCAGTTGTCTAAACTTAGTGAAACACAAACTGAATAAAGATGTTTGACTCGACTGTTGAGCACAATTATTGTTAACAGCATAAAAAAAACCCCAAGACATTCGATTTTTGTATGAGTAAAATGGGCATTTGTTTTATTATGGATATTATAAAAATATCAAATATCACATAACAATTTTAAGGATATGATTATGATATAAAGACAAGCTAAAAGCTAATATATATTTGCTTCATATATCTACTTTCTTTTATAAATACCAGTAATAGTAATTAACAGTTGAAGGTAAGTATTTTATGTGAAAGAAAATTATAAAATAAATGATGTGAATAAATAAATATGATGATAAATACGCTTAATTTACATCAATAGTTTAGTGCTATTTTGTAGGTTAATAAGATGTATTTCTGTCAATCTTGACAATAATTTGCCATCAGTCAAAGTATTTTGCTAAGTTTATATACTGGTAATCATGAACATATCTGGAATATTTTTTATTTTACATACTACAGCATTCTGTGAAATCCGTTATTATTTTCATGCCCCGATTGATTACCTTAATAATTTTATAATCTCTTGAAGTATTCAATTGGCTGTACTAGTACAGTGTCCAACATTTTAAAGTGAAAAGATGAATTCAAAGAGTGGTTCAAGGTAGTGGACAAACACAACCCGTCAATCAATTGGTCTGCCAATCGTAAGGCTTGGATGACAAGTGCTATTTAGTCAAAGATTATATATTCAAAGTAAATTGTTATGCAATTGTTCGATAAAATGTAATAAAATTTTGAATGTACAGAAAGCATTATCATATTTTAAGTTCTGCGTATTCGAGGGTGCATTATAATAAAACTTACAGTATTCGAAGGTACAATAATACTTCTGGTATACTGAGTATTTCAACATGCTGTCTAATCTGGCATATTGTATTAATCCCTTACGATGTCGGAATTTACAGAGTCCAGTGTATGTATATATATATTGTTTCTATACCTAGTTACCTACATTACTTTGAAAATTATATGAAACATGTCAGTAATAAAATAACTATCTAGAATGGACGCATTTACTCTATTTTACGTATATATATTATATCAATATGGCCTGAAGAGGTTCAAGAGAAATGAAAACGCTAGCCATAAAAACATGTTTATTTCTTTTTTCAACGTAATTTTTTATATATATACATAAACAAAAAATACGTCCAGGTAAAAAATTATCCACTTTATTTCATTTTGACATACATTAAATCATATAAGCTAGCTGTCTGCCTTCTATGGGTGTCTTCAGATATTAATAATGTATACAAGATATTGAAATATGATACATATATATATATACTAAACAGCAAAAAAAAAAACGTCAATACGATTTCAAAATCAGAGAGGCACTTTAATCAAATCATTCTGGAAAACAATTTACTAAATGGATCAAAGCAATTTTTTGTGAACAGTATGTTGACACATTAGTGATTAATTCATTACAATTCCAAGACATTACGAGAAGGTTTAAAGTCTGTACACAGTCTATACATCAGTATCTGGTGTGTCCACCGTGAGTGTCAATAAAAGCAGCGCAGCGTCTGTACATGGAGTGGACCAGAGGATTGATGAACGCCATTGGCACCTGGAACCACACTCTCAGAAAAGCCTGGCGCAATCCATCAACTGTGTTTGGTCTCGGTACAACATTATTAAGTCTCCTCTGAATTTCATCCCAAAGATGTTCAATCGGGTTTAAGTCTGGACTAAGGGCTGGCCAGTGCATAATGTTGACACCGTTTTGCTGTAGAAAGTCTCGAGAAACTCTGGCGGTGTGGGCACGGGCGTTGTCATGCTGGTAAACTTTGTTTCGATGACGTGCAAAATGTGGTATGACGTGGGGTCTGAGAGCTTGATCGATGTAGGGCACTGCTGTCATACCGCCTCCTCTCCCTGGACCAAGATTTTAAAACACCACAGGACCCGCTGTCTGGTTCAGGCTGATTCCACCCCAAACCATGACGCATTGGTCAGAATAACGCGCGCCACGTCAAAGCCATATTCTGGTCCTGCCATCTGCAGTTGATACAGTTCTCCATTACCTGTGTCACCAGTTCTGGTGTTGTTGGGCAAACTGTAGACGGTCATGTCGATGGCGAGGGGTGAGGATTGGTCCCAGTAAGTTCTACGGTAATGGATGTTCTCTCTGGCGAGACTTAGGCGTACTGATAGGTCTTCCGTGTATTCCCACTGTCTGATGTGCTGTCTCAGATGCCTGTGTGAAGGTCCTGTCGCCTTGTGGTAACTCTGGGTCTACACGTTCTGGGACGATCATCCGTGGTGTTGGTGGCGTTGCTGAAGCCTGTAGATGGTCCGTACATTGACCTGGAAGTGATTGGCAACGGCTTGGGCAGTGTGGCCAGCGTCGAGTCTTCCAAGCACCTGGTTCCTCTGAGCTGTCGTGAGTCGTAGCATGCTGCCGACGTTGTAGTATGAATGATTCAACCAGGTATGGGGGTGCATTTTATAGGGCTGGTCCTGGTGTGTGAGAGAGAGAGAGAGAGAGAGAGAGAGAGAGAGAGAGAGAGAGGTTTAATGTCCAATCGACACAAACTAGGTCATTTCGGGACTAACGTATGGTTTAATTTTATTTCAGTAATTCACTTGCGCGTAGGCGTCTTTAGCAGTGGGAGGAAACGGAGGACCCGGAGAAAACCCACGAGGTTGGACAGGCGACCCTACTCCCTGTAAAGTACAACCGGGGATTCGAAACCACGCCAGTCGACTCAATGACAGACTTTATGATAAAGCGCGCGCACGCTAACCATTCAGCCATCCAACCCCCCTGGTCCCGGTGAACAGCACATGCAGCATGAGTCACATAAAAATCATGGAGAACACATTACCATCTCAGAAGTCAGGTTGCGTTTTTGAGAACATTTCCTGGGTTCAATTCTGTGTTTGGGAAGGAGCCTTATTGCTCATGTAAAGTTTGAAATGTGGTCACAAATATACAATAAAAACATTTGGCAAGTTTTATGCAATGTGTCTATTCAGAGTAACATACCAACATGACATTTCTTATGCTGCTTAGTATATATACATTCTTAGAATAATAGATTTCCATGACAATGGATTATAAATAATATTGGGTACTGTACAAGAAAAGGTTAAAAGTATATAATACATAACATGACATTAATTTACATTGTTTTTCTGGTGATGGGATGAAAGATGTTTACCTTGTAAAATGAGAGTCGAAGGAAGCTCCATTGAAATAATGAATCCAATGATTTTCATGTAAAACAAAGCATGCCACATGCAAATCAAAGAATGTAATATATCTCATTGTATGTTGTGATTGTAAAGGGAGGTAAAACAGAAGGTCAACTAACCTCCGAATGAACCTTCATAGATCGCAAATTAATATTCCGAGTAATCGAACAATACCTTTAAGTGCACAAATTGAAACGTGTGGAGGTGGAAAATTCAACGTATTTCCCTTGTACAAATTGAATTTTTTAAATAATGATTTACTTAAATGTAAAGAAATTTATTTCATCAAAAAGTACAAACCAGGAATAAATAAACAGATATTATAGTAAGAGATGAAATAATTGTTTTTATAAGTGTTTTTATTATTATTTTTTAAATTTTTTTTCTGGAATTTAGTCAGTTTGTGCAGCCAAAACTGTACATGGTGCAAACATTCTGCCAACGTAGATGTGGTTGGCATCAGATTGCTATATTTAAAAATAAATAATATTTGTGGGTATAATAATCTTATTTTAGGAATATGGTCGCCTGTCGAACCTCGTGGGTTTTCTCCGGGTCCTCCAACTGCTAAAGACCCCTATGCGCAACAAATTATTGGAATAAAATTAAACCATATGTTAGTCCCGAAATGACCTAGTTTGTGTCGAGTGGACGTTAAACCCCATTTCTCTCTCTCTATTTTAGGAATTTCAGAAAATTTATTGTCCCCCGCCTTTCGAAGAAAGCAGGGGACTATTAAAATGGGTTCATCCGTCTGTCTGTCTGTCTGTCTGTCTGTCTGTCTGTCCGTCTGTCTGTCCGTCTGTCTGTCCGTCACACTTTTTGGGACACAATAACTCTCTTCCTAATTGAGCTAGAATGTTCAAACTTGGTGTATGTGTTTATTAGGTCAATGCCTTGATGGAGTTCGAAGATGAGCATTTTCCGCTTAGGGTAAGCAGAGATAAGCAATTTGATTGGTTGATGCTTTGGGACACGATAACTCTCTTCCTAATTGGGCTAGAATATTCAAACTTGGTGTATGTGTTGATTAGGTCAATGCCTTGATGGAGTTCGAAGATGAGCATTTTCCGCTTAGGGTAAGCAGAGATAAGCAATTTGATTGGTTGATGCTTTGGGACACGATAACTTTTAATTGAGCTAGAATGTTCAAACTTGGTGTATGTGTTTATTAGGTCAATGCCTTGATGGAGTTCGAAGATGAGCATTTTCCGCTTAGGGTAAGCAGAGATAAGCAATTTGATTGGTTGATACTTTGGGGCACGATAACTCTCTTCCTAATTGAGCTAGAATGTTCAAACTTGGTGTATGTGTTGAGTAGGTCAATGCCTTGATGGAGTTCGAAGATGAGCATTTTCCGCTTAGGGTAAGCAGAGATAAGCAATTTGATTGGTTGATGCTTTGGGACACGATAACTTTAGTTCTAATTAAGTGAGATTGATGAAACTTGGTGTATAGATTTATTATATGAATACCTTAACTAAGTTCGATAATGAACATTTTTTGCTGAGGGTAAGCAGAGTGATAAGCAATTTGATTGGTAGAAACTTTGGAACACAATAACTCTCCTTCTAATTGAGGTAGAATGTTCAAACTTGGCATAGGTGTCTATTAGGTGAATGTTTAAACTTGATGTATATGTAGATGTTCATTAGGTGAATGTCTTGACTGAGTTCAATAATTAACATTTCGAGCTGAAGCTAAGCAGAGCTAATCGATTTCATTTGTCGATGGTTTGGGACAAGATAATCTTGATTCTATCTGATAGAGAGTGATGAAACTTAGTGAAAAAAATAAATGTGCGATTAATTAATATGTGTCATCTATTTATTTTGCAATTTCGGCGGGGGACATCAGCCTCACTGTTGGCTTGTTAAAATAAGTTTCACCCAATTTGCTCAAAATCCATGACATTCCAATGTTCGATTTATCGATGCTTTGGAACATAATAACTTTCAATCCTTATTGTGTGAGATCAATATTAATGAATATTTTGTGCTCTGCTTAATTAGATTAATAAGCAGTTTGATTGCTGGATGCTTTCTAAAAAGATAAATGTGCAAGTAATTTAGGAGAATCATATGTTTATTTTGGGATTAAGGCAGGGAACAACAGTCTGACTCTTGGTTTGTGAAACTCTATTGTTTGTTTAAATTTATAGGTACATGTTGTTCATTATTTTCTGGTAAACCATCATGATTTAGATTATTTAACACCATGTTTTATTTCAGCCTGTTGGAAATGTTTGTGGTAAATCATCATAAAATTGATTATTTAATGTTATATTTTATTACAGCCTGTCGGTAATGTACCAGATGATATAAAAGCTAAAATATCATCAGTAGAAAATGGTATTAAAGAATTAAAGGTAGGTATAATAACTATCATACACTTATCTCCTACATGATCAGTAAAATCATCTGCAAAAGCACATGCTATTGTTGGCATTGCCAATAAAACATAAAGTAGACAAGTCTTTAACTCCGGATCATCCACAGTCTTCGACATTGCAAACATGACTTATTGGTAAATTTATATCAACATTGATGTTGTTATCTTACCGTGAAAAGATGGTCTTCTGGTATCCAATTTTTAAGACACAATGAAAATTTTAAAATTGGCACACGGTGAATGAGGCTAAACATATCCCACAAGGTAAGACTACCAGTGTAGACTGGAATAACCAGACACCAAAGACTGCCATTTGCCGAACATAACTGATTAGAAATTACAGTAAAAACATCAGTTTATATACATTCACAATACATTATTATATGCATCATTCATGACCCATTTCTAGGTGCCAAAGAATAGCAATTTAGCTCCTTTAATTTAAGTGCATTAGAAATTACAATTAATTAGTATAATGTATTACATCATTATATGCGTTGCAACCTATTTGAGTCCATTCCTAGGTGCCAAGGAATAGCTATTTAGCTCCTTTAAATATGATGATAAAAGTCTAATTTTGATTGACTTGTAAATTTCTTTCACCTATTCGGTCCAAAATTCCTTGTAAATGCCTTACAGCTCCAAATGTCTGATTTTTTTAAGATACTTTTTCCAACTTTGTTGGATCTGTTTTTATACGCCTCGTGGTGGATTTGTTTGGCCACTCTGAATTGTGGTCATTAATTATTCACAAAGTTATGGCTCTTGTCATTTAAATGTAAACATGTTTGGGAAACTGTAACAAATTATAAAAAATTTTTATAAAATTTTGGGGTTATTCTGTGGGAAGAAGCCTATTGATATTTTGATTTCCACTAAATGGTCTGCTGTATTGGACAATTTGTCTAGCCTATGATACTAAATGTTATTATAATAATGAGCAACCTTTACTATAAGCTGATTTTATACGCCCACACGGAAATGTGTTATATATTGCCGTCGTCGCCCCCCCCCCCATCCATCCGTCATCTGATATTGTTTTTTGAAATTGATATATGTTGTTTAAATTAGTGAGATGAAGAAGCCTATTTATTTAGCTGAAATTTATATGCATCACTTATATTAGTGAAACGAAGAAGACTATTGAATTTCAGCTATTTCCGTTAATTATGTCTAAGAGTTATGGCCCTTGTTTCACTTTGTTGTACCTTGTGAACTCTCAAAAAACAAAAGTTATCCTCCGATCTGTATGCAATTTATATGCATCAATTAGTTTTATGAAATGAAGATTCCTATTGAATTTCAGCAATTTACGTTAATTATGTCTAGAGTTATGGCTCTAGTTTTACTTTGGTCAACCCTGTGAACGCTTGAATGACAAAATGAAATTTATATGCATTATTTAAATTAGTAAAACGAAATTTCATAATTTCTGTAATGTTAGGTTTCCACTATCACAATTCGTGCTACGACTGGAATAATGGTTTTAGTCGTGGTTATCTTGTCAGGTCTGGTTATATAATGTGGTTATGTCGTAGCAATCGTGTTGACCGTATTTTCATGTGGACGTATATTGTCGTCGCCCCTGTCCGTCCACAATACGAAACTTGAAATATAGGTTTATCCCCAAAAGATCTCGGCTGCTTTCGATATTGGCATGTATCGGATCGAAACTTCATGGATTAAGTCCCCTGTTTGTACGAAAAATCACGTTTTTAGCTTGTGGACCCTATAGAGGTCACAATTTTTATCCGATTTTGGTGAAACTTGAAATGTAAGTTTATAACCCAAAAATCTCGGTTCCTTTCGATATTCGCGCATATCGGACTGTAACTTCCTGAATTATGGCCCCTGATTGTACGAAAAATCGCGTTTTTAGCTTGTGGACCCTATAGAGGTCATAATTTTTATCTGATTTAAAAAAACGTTTTATTATATCACCGTTACACCCTAAGGACGACTGAGGTCGAATTTCGTGAAAATCGGCCCAAAATTGACAGACAAAATGGCCGCCGTAAGTTCTCAAATAGCGTAAAAATGTGGTATATCAAGGTTGTGGACCCTATAGAGGTCACAATTTTTATCCAATTTTGTTGAAACTTGATATGTAAGTTTATAACCCAAAGATCTCGGTTCATTTTGATATTCGCGCATATCGGACCGTAACTTCCAGAATTATTGTCCCTGATTGTACGAAAAATCACGTTTTTAGCTTGTGGAACCAATAGAGGTCATAATTTTTATCCGATTTAAAAAAACGTATTATTATATCACCGTTACACCCTAAAAACAGCTGAGGTCGAATTTCATGAAAATCGGCCCAAAATGTACAGACAAAATGGCCGCCGTTCGTTCTCAAATAGCGTAAAAATATGGTATATCAAGGTTGTGGACCCTATAGAGATCACAATTTTTATCCGATTTTGTTGAAACTTGAAATGTAATTTTATAACCGAAAGTTCTCGATTCCTTTCGATATTCGCGCATATCGGACCTTAACTTCCTGAATTATGGTCCCTGATTTTACGAAGAATCGCGTTTTTAGCTTGTGGACCCTAAAGGTCATAATTTTTATCCGATTTAAAAAAACGTATTATTATGTCACCGTTACACCATAAGGACGACTGAGTTCGAATTTCGTGAAAATTGGCCCAATATTGACAGACAAAATGGCGTAAAAATATGGTTGTGGACTCTATAGAGGTCACAATTTTGATCCGATTTTGATGAAACTTGAAATACATATTTATAACCCAAAGATCTTGGTTCCTTTTGATATATGCACATTTTGGATCATAACTTTCTGAATTATGGCCCTTGATTGTACGAAAAGTCGCGTTTTTAGGATGTGATCCCTCTAGATGTCACAATTTTTATCCGATTTTAAAAAACGTTTGAATATATCCCTGTCAAACCCTTATGATGGTTGAGTCCGAATTTCGTACAAATCGGACCAAAACTGCCGGACAAAATGGCTGCCCTCGTACGCAAATATTGTAAATATATTGTATATCAAGGTTTTGGACCCTCTAGAGAGTGGACACAATTTTGATTCGATTTTGATGTAACTTGAAATACATGTTTATAACCCAAAGATCTTGGTTCCTTTCAATATTCATACATATCGGATTGTAACTTCCTGAATTATGGCCCTTGATTGTACGAAAAAATCACTTCTTTTTTTGAGCTTGTTCTCTGTCCATCTCTTGAAAAATGTGGGCGTATCTTGCATGGCAACCGCTTGTCAAAGTTAAGGCGGCCCTTGTTTCAGTTTGTAGAACCTTGTGAACCCTCAAATGACGAAAATTATAATCTGTATGAAATTGTCTCATAAATACTCCCCCATTACCTACAAAAGAATAAATATGTGACAACCCTTGTTGACCGCTCTAGATGTATTTAAACAAAACAATAGGCAATTGTGTTTTTTTTGTACTTTATTTTTAAAAAGAATTTTATTTTTCATATTTCTGCATGATATAAAATTCCAAGTCTATACAGTACTTGAATTTGTTGAATAAATGTTAAATATTGGTGTATTGTATTCTCCAAAGTGGTTTCCCCTTGTCAGTGGAGCAGGACGGAGGGCATGACAAGGACAGCAGTCTAGTCGTTTGGATGGGACGAAAAACGAGGCTCTGTGTATACATTGCCGTGCACAAAAAAGATCCCTTGGCAGTTAGAATTCGATATAAGAGTAGGCCATAGTGCCGCTGCCTGGGCAAAATTTCCCTCTGTATGGCATATGCCCAGCTTCGTTAGCCCATTATAGGAGCAGAACAGAACAGTAGGTAGGAAGTTAAACCTCATTTTATTTCATTTCATATTTACAGAACCAAATTATAATAAACTATACAACTAATTAACGTAACTGATGTATATTTTTAATAGCTTAAAATAGTTGGATTAACAGAAAAAGTTATAACAATGGAGAGGAAAATGGCTGATCTGCCTCGTAAAACGGTTCTTGAACAACAAGCAAGGGATATTGTTGATATCAAAGATAGAGTTGCCACTTTAACAGAACAATTCCGAAATATGGACGGAGGTGCCACCATAACACGTTATGGCACACTGAATGATATGGCGGGTGAGTTCCAATGAAGGGGGGATAAATCTTGCAGTTTAATAAGAAAGTAGCTTTGTTATGTCATTTGGCGATATAATTAACAATATTTTGTAATCAACTAAATGTATTCAATTTTTTCAAGGTATTTATATTCTAATCAGATTGCTAATAAAGCCCTTGGTCATATAGAGGATACTGATTGAACATTACAGAATTAAATTCTCTCAATCCCCAAATAGTGACAATTGTGTGAAAAGGGGGACTTCACGCAACATCCAATGCATTGAATGCATAAGGTATCTTGACTAACCATGACCGCTGAAACATATTCGTTGTGTTTGATTATGTCACGATTCTACTAGCACTACCTCCTTTGTCGGGACTAACAGAGCTGTGACAGGCCTGAATTCTGCCCCACTCAATTGTAATTCTGTCAATTCGGAACATTCCGGACTAACAATTGAGCACCCCCATTGTTTCATAGATTATGCAATTTATCTATGAGATAAATTCAAGAAGAATCAGTAATTGATGTAGATATAAAGCATTATCAGGGCTAGTGTGATACCCTGTTAAACTAAATCTGCTTCAGGGCTAGTGTGAGATCCCTTTAGATATAAGGTAGTATCAGGGCTAGTACTAAATCTGCTTCAGGGCTAGTGTGAGATCCCTGTAGATATAAGGTAGTATCAGGGCTAGTGTGAAGCCCTGTAGATATAAAGTTGTACATGTATAAGGGTCAATGTGAGACCCCTGTAGATATAAAGTAGTATCAGGATTAGTGTGAGACCCCTGTAGATATAAAGGAGTTTAAGGGTCAGTGTGAGACCCCTGTAGATATAAAGGAGTATCAGGGCTAGTATGAGACATCTGTAGATACAAAGTAGTATCAGGACTAGTGTGAGGCCCCTGTAGATATAAAGGGGATTCAGGGCTAGTGTGAGATAATGGTAGATAAAAAGCAGTATCAGGGCTAGTGTGAAACCCTGTTAATATAAAGCTGTTTCGGGGCTAGTGTGAGATCTCTGTAGATATAAAGTAGTATCAGGACTAGTGTGAAACCCCTGTCGGTGTAAAACTGTATCAGGGCTATTCTGAGACCCCTGTAGATGTAAAGCCGTATCAGGGCTCAAAAGGATGGATAATAATATAGCTACTTTTTAACCTTAATAGGTATTGATCAGACGACCAAACTTTATGCAGAAGGTATTTTTTTGTGTGTGGATAATTTTTTCCTCTTATTATTTTCAGATGCGTTTACCAATCAGCTGGCCACTCATGATCGTCAGCTTGGCAACCATGATGTGAGAATAGCTGAAATGGATCTGCGATTTCAAATATTAGAAACGGCAAGTTACAATGGTGTAATCATCTGGAAGATCAAAGACTACATGCGAAGAAAACAAGATGCTGTTAATGGAAGAACGCTGTCGTTATATTCTCAACCATTTTACACCAGTAAATATGGATACAAGATGTGCGTTAGGACGTATCTGAACGGAGATGGTATGGGCCGAAATACTCATGTTTCCTTGTTCTTTGTGGTCATGGGCGGAGAATTCGATGCCTTGTTACCGTGGCCATTCCAACAAAAGGTCACATTATACATCATGGATCAAGGCCCAGGTAAACGCCATCTTAGTGACCATTTTCACCCGGATGCTACAAGTACAAGTTTTAGACGACCTGTTTCTGAGATGAACGTGGCCTCAGGTTGTCCACTGTTTGTCAGCCATACTGTTTTGGAAAGCAACTCAAACCAATATATAAAGGATGATACTTTATTTATCCGCTGTAATGTAGACTTAAATGGTTTGGATAATTTTTAATTCAAACAGAGTTGAACGATGTTCTGTTTATTACAAAAGGCTTCCAAGTGAAGCCTCATCCCAGAATGCAACCAAGGGTTTATGACCACTTTTTTCATTGTTTAGAACTGCTTCTATTAACCCTTTAGTGCATGGTACATGCATTATACCTCAAGACAGCCCGAAAACGATGCAATACTACAGTTGCTTAGACCCCTGAAACTGTCCAAGATATTTGAATAGTTCTGCATGTTTTAAGACCATATTCTAGTTCTTTGAGGCGCTACAGTTATGGGTGGTCTAAGGAACACTAGGGGTTAATTAGACACCTACTTTTAAACTGTACACAGAGCATACCCTTCAGAAAAAATGATTGCAATATCCTTCACTCACATCACTCACATGTAAAGCAGTAGATTTACACATGTGCTGTCTGTTGCCAACCGTCCATAATTCATTTAAACATTCCTAAACGAAGCTATGCTTTCGCACTTTCGATCCTTTAGAAATAATTATAGCTTGTTCAGAAGACAAAAGGTGATTGTGAGTGTATATTTCATTGCCGGGCAACCTGTGTTTTTATTCTGTGAAAGTTCAGCATGAGAATCAATGATAACAAAGGTGGTCAACTAAATAAAAAAAATAAAATCAATCTCTTGGTTTGTTAATCTGAGCATCTAAAAAAATTCTAAATGCCATATTTTGGTCATACTCATTTCTTGACATATTTTCCAGTTCTATATTTTTTCTTGCTTTCCCCTAATAAAAATGGTATGACCTTGTCGTGGTTTAGGGGCTTTAGATCTCCATTCTGTTAGACAGTGAAACATCCTTTTACCATCTGGCTCAAATGTTATGCACATTTATTTGTGGAAAATGCATATTTTAGAAAACTTTTTGGGAGAAAACAAGTCTTCTCTTCAAATTATCCAAAGTTCCTTTATTAGTGATGCAAAGATAAAATTTACAATATGCCAGATTTAGAAATATAAATTCTTAACAGAAATGATTAATATTGTTATGATAGAAAGTGATTGAGATCGACCAACAAACCATTTTTGACCTTCAACTCTTTCACTAAATTTCAGTAGACCAACTCTGTAATTTGAAATAACTATAGAAAATCAGCTATTAAAATTTGACTAGTTGTCACTTGTAACATAAACTGAAGGTCAGCTTAAAGGAGCTAAGTCTCTAACTCAATAACATCCAAAGTCTTCGACAAAGAAAACTATGTCAATTTAAATCGACATTGATGTTGTGATCTTACCGGTAAAAGATGGGCTTCTGATATCCAATATTTGAGACAAAATAAACATTTTACCATTGGTACACGAATCGTGTACCATAATGCTTTTTAGCACCATTTGTAACAAGGGACTTGAAGAACGAGTCTAGACATATTCCACAAGTCATGTCGAACGGTTATGCCATATTCTTATCTGGAGAGCATGCACGCAATAAATACCTTTGGTGTAGACTGGAATAACCAGACGCTAGAGATTGTCATTCGATTGAGATTCCTGGCGTATTTCGCCGAACATAATTGATTAGAAACTACAGTAAAAACAGAAACGATTGACTGCAAATCAGTTTATGTACATTCGTATTACATTATTATATGCGTTGCGACCCATTTGTGTCAATTTCTAGTTCCCAAATATTAGCGATTTAGCTCCTTTAAGAGCAGCTGTTATAGAAATGCTTATTTGCATAAACTCTGTAACTCCTTACCCAAATGTGATTGTAATGTGATAAAAATATGACCAGGCATAATGACCAGTCAGTTTTAGATAGTATTTAATTTGTCATGGTTAATATTAATCTGGATAGAAGATATATAATTAGTTAAGTATTTAAAGGGTGTTTGGCTCCATATTTTAAAATGTTCATTGTGTTTTAAATATTGGATATTAGGATCCCATATTTTCAAGCCAACATAACAACTTCAATATGAATTGAAATTGATCAATGTTGAATTCCAATTTGTGTTTTTAATTTCGAATATTATGTAAAATGTTGAGTTAGAGATTTAGCTCCTTTAATCCATTATTGTATATGACAATCTTGTATAGTATATGTTTTGATGTCAACACTTGAGCTTATTCATTTATAGAATATAAAAAGACTAATGTACATCAATAGGGAGGTCATTATGTCACCCGACGTGCTGTAAGTGTACATTGTATGTATTGAATTATTGTCATTTGTAAGATATAATTAAAAGATTGAAGGCCTCGGGCACAATATTTGCAAGCTCTTAACAAGTACATGTATATAGCTGAGGTATATATTTATGTTATATAGTCTTTTGTCATCATCAGTGGCCACTATTATTGTAAATTTTCTGTAGAACTTTCCATATTTGCAGGAAATTTTATTTTTATTTACTGTGCATTAACTAATTTGTTGAGATGCCATATTAATTAAAGATATGTTAACTATTACATGTTTATTTGTCTTATTAATTAAAGATATGTAAATTATCTACCACTATCTTAGTGATAACAGATATCAGTTTCGTAAATTTATGATTTATTTATATCAAGAACAGAAATGTACATACACAGGAACATAAATCAAACATCGATACAGTACATTAATATAGTCTCTACCCCTCTCTTCTCCTCCCTGCTTGTCTCTTGTCTGTGCCTTCTTTCTGCGTCTCTTCTCTTCAGAAAGCACAGGGTCTTATATACCCTTGTATAGTTAACTGTGCAAATTCTATTTAATCAAGAACATTTTCACTACATGTGGTAATTAATACGTATGTAATTAAATATGTGTATATATGTAGTGGACAGTACATGTATATCTTATATCCTAGATCAATTACGTATGGGATTCAATGAGTTCACACATGTGGGGTTCAAATTGGTTCTATGAATTTAAATAAATACTTTATATGTATACAATATAATCTTAATATGATACGAGGTATGGAGCAATTTGTCACAATTATCATACGATTATATGTTATATTAGATAAAGATATGTTAACTATTACATAATTAGAGGTATGTAAAACTATAATAGTTAATTAAAGACATGTTAAACTACAACATGAATATCTATCATATTACTTATTTAAAGATATGTTAACCGTAACATGATTATCTAGAGGTATTAGAGGTATGTAAAACTATATTAGTTAATTATAGACATGTTAAACTATAACATGAATATCTATCATATTACTTATTTAAAGATATGTTAACCGTAACATGATTATCTGTCATATTAGGAATAAAACCAGTAATTGCACCCCATAAATTTTTTGTTAATAAGTGTATGCTTTTTTTTACTGCCTACTATTGTATAATGATAAATAATTATGTTTGCATTTGTTTATTATTAAAGGGCTAATATAAGTTTTATTAATCTCCGCAAAATTTCACTACGGTGATCGAGAATATTTGTGGGCAATAACAACAGATCATTTATTTAAATCTAATCTGGTGGCAATGTGCTTACATCAAGGCATGAAACCACTTACTTATACAGGTAGTCATGTCATATTGCTTGGGTAGAGCTTCTCCAGATTTTAAAACATATAGTTGCTTTGCGAGTGATGAGGGTAAATTTAGACGTTGTCCACTTAAAGATTTAGATAAAAAAAAACAGCTGGATGTTAATATAATGCTATAGTAGTTCAAAAATAGATAATGAAAAATGAAATGACTGTTTAAAGACATACCGTTTATCGTTTATCATTCATTATCGTGGCAATGGTACCCGACAAGCGAGACTGCCCCGATGTCCATGTTATTAAATTTTTAAATGTCATAGATGTTTACCGTAAATCTCGGCCATCTGAAGATGGCAAGTTGCTTTTTCTGTTAATAAATGTCTAAATATTAATTTTTTTGATATATAACATTTGAAGCCAAAAGAAAGACCTGCAGTCGGCAGATTTTGCTCTTACATAATGCATCTTTAATTGACTACAATTTAGATTTTTCGAATATATCTTTGTGTTATCATTGTGATATAAATAATTTTGTAAAATTATGCCCCCTCACCTAAAACCTTTGTGAATGAGATAGACGCTACAGTTTTTATACGCCCACATTGAAATGTGGTCGTATATTGTCGTCGGTCCGTCCGGCGTCCACAAGCTCTAGAGGCTAAAGTTAATATCCGATTCACTTTACATTTATATACAGTGTTTAAGGTCATTAGATGAAGAAACCTATTGATTTTCAGCAATTTCCGATAATTACTGCCAGAGTTATGGCCCTTGATCACTTCAAAAAATCTTGTGGATGCTCTAGAGGCCAAAGTTAATATCCGATTAACTTTAAATTTATACATAGTGTTTAAGGTCATGAGACGAAGAAGCCTATTGATTTTCAGCAATTTCCGATAATTACTGCCAGAGTTATGGCTCTTGATCACTTCAAAAAATCTTGTGGACACTCTAGAGGCCAAAGTTAATATCCAATTGACTTTAAATTGATACACAGTGTTTAATGTCATGAGACGAAGAAGCCTATTGATTTTCAGCGATTTCCGATAATTACTGCCAGAGTTATGGCCCTTGATCACTTCAAAAAATCTTGTGGACGCTCTAGAGGCCAAAGTTAATATCCGATTGACTTTAAATTTATACGCAGTGTTTAAGGTCATAAGACGAAGAAGCCTATTGATTTTCAGCGATTTCCGATAATTACTGCCAGAGTTATGGCCCTTGATCACTTCAAAAAATCTTGTGGACGCTCTAGAGGCCAAAGTTAATATCCGACGAAGAAGCCTATTGATTTTCAGCGATTTCCGATAATTACTGCCAGAGTTATGGCCCTTGATCACTTCAAAAAATCTTGTGGACGCTCTAGAGGCCAAAGTTAATATCCGATTGACTTTAAATTTATACACAGTGTTTAAGGTCATGAGACGAAGAAGCCTATTGATTTTCAGCGATTTCCGATAATTACTGCCAGAGTTATGGCCCTTGATCACTTCAAAAAACCTTGTGGATGCTCTACAGGCTAAAGTTAATCTCATTGACTTTAAATTTATACACAGTGTTTGAGGTCACGAGGCGAAGAATCCTATTGATTTTCAAAGATTTCTGATAATTACTGCCAAAGTTATGGCCCTTGATCACTTTGAAAAATCTTGTGGACGCTCTAGAGGCCAAAGTTAATATCCGATTGACTTCAGATTGATACACAGAGTTTAAGATCTTGAGGCGAACAAGTATGTTTATTTTCAATGAATTTTTATGACTTGGAACAGCTAAATCCCTGATACAGTATTAAAATTTTTGTATACATAATGTTAGCATGGGGCAGAACTTTATAAAAACCAAACAAATTCTAATGGTTTTCTGAGTTGTTGCTCTTAATCAGATTTTAGTGTATTATAAATGTTTCATTACCGAAAAAAGTAAAAATATGCGACAACTCTTGTTGACTGCCCGGACGATTTAGCTGCTGTGGGCGTATGTTTCGTTGCCTGGCAACCTATCTTTAACAGATTAACAGATCATTTTCAGAATTGGTGAGAAGTATTATGTTCATGAGAGGACAAACCCTGATGGGAGCTGCAGTGTTTATTGGATTTATTTAAATTTGGTCATGAGAGGTTGAACTCTATCAATATCTCCCCCCCCACCCTTTTCCAAGAACCTTAAAAACCTGACTTACTCACTTGGCCACCATGGCTCCCGAATATGGTAAAGAATCTTGATCTTATTGTATAGATTTGTTATCATTTACATAAATATACCAATTGATATATTGCGTGTACAGAGATCTACATAGAATTTAATGAAACTGTCCAGGTTTTCAAAATAAGGTTAAAATCACCCAAAAAAGAGATATTTTTGAAAAAATTGAATTTCAAATCAAAATTTATGAGGACAGTGTGCAATATCACCCAGCATGAAAGCGAATGTAAAACCCCACAGTGTAGGAAATTCATATTTTATGAATAGAGTTGTTTGCACCAAAGTAGGCTGCTTTATACATCGTGGCGTCACGATCCTATTTATGGCATATCTTGTGGCATATCGGCACAATGAATTTAACTTTTCTTTTGATACATAGATATATTTATTCAATAGAGAAATAAAATGAACAAAAGAGGGTTTAATATCCTATTTTTCTGCACCGACTGAGCTAATGAAGATATATAGATTATTTCTGATTTTACACTGTCAAGTGAGGACTATCTATATTTGCTTTGTGTTTGAAATTGTGATCTCTATTACAAGCTTTTGCTATTAATAAAGTTTACATTTTATATATTTTGTTGACATCCTTTGTACTTATACCCAGCAATCCGCCAGGCCAATTACCAGTTGATTGTCATCATCCATGTGCATCTTCCCTCGAGTTGTAGGGGGTTGGATGGCCGAATGGTTAGCATGTGGGGTTGGATGGCCGACTGGTTAGCACGTGTGCGCTGTATCATAAGACCTGTCATTGAGTCAACAGGCGTGGTTTCAAATCCCCGGTTGTACGTGACGAGGAGTAGGGTCGCCTGTCCAATCTTGTGGGTTTTCTCCAGGTCCTCAGGTTTCCTCCTACTGCTAAAGACCCCTACGCACAAGCAAATTAATTTGAAATAAAATTAAACCATATGTTAGTCCTGAAATGACCTAGTTTGTGTTGAGTGGACGATAAACCCCATTTCTCTCTCCCTCGAGTTGTAACCTTGACCATACTGTGTCTATCACAAACAGATATAGTTTAGACAGACTGCCATGTTGTCAAATATGTGCTGTTGTCTACTTAAATTATCCAATGGAAATGTCAGTGAAATTGTGCACAGGCAGTCTTACAAATTTAAAAATTTGGAAAATTCCAATTTAACTAAATAATTCACAAGAAATTGGCTGTGATTGGTCGAAAAAATGGAATTATCCAATCAGATGGGTCAACAATTGCTAGAACTGTTGGAATAGTCAGGAACAGAGTAACATACTGAAATTCAGGTTTTGCTTTAAATTTACACCGAGAGTACTTTCTTTTTTAAAAGAACCAGCAGTTGCCAGGCAAGATACGCCCACATTTTGCAAGAGATGGGTAGAGAACACGCCAAAAAAAAACAAACATTATTCTTACAATCAGGCCAGGGGCATAATCCAGGAAGTTATGGTCTGAAATGTGCGAAGTATCTCAATGGACTGAGATCTTTGGGTTATAAATATGTATTTCCAGTTTCGTCAAAACCAAATCAAAATTGTGGCATCCAGAGTGTCCACATCCTTGATATAGCATATATACTATTCAAAAAAAGTAGGGGATATTTGATTTTTAAGTGTTATTAAAGTCACCTAATGAAACTGACGAAGAAACAAATGACAAAATGAAATGAAGTTCACATTCATCGATTTATTCCAAATGATCGTTAGACTAAGTAAGGCACAGACTGACCATTATAAGGGTAAAATGATACCCGGGGTCAAACAGCAAAGTTACCACAGCATCACAACCAAGTCAGTAACGGGTAAATCCTCCTCTGTTTGCCAAACAAGCATTGATCCGACGTGGCATACTCCTAATGAGACGTCTAAGGTCATTTTGGTCCAGATTGTCCCATTCCTGTTGCAACGCAGCAGCAAGTTCTTGGACATTGGCAGGACGTTGTTGACGTTGACGTAACCTCTGTCCAAGCATGTCCCAGACATGCTCGATGGGGGAGAGGTAACCTGTAATGATCCTGGCCCTGTGACATCTTGCGTTGTCATCCTGGAAGATGAAACGGCGGCCATGACGTCGTGCGAACGGCACAACATGGACTGCCAAGATGTTGTCCCGGTAGTACTGGCCTGTAACACGCCCTGCAACAACATGTAAAGCCGTTCTTCCAGCAACAGTGATGCCTCCCCACACCATAACAGAACCACCCCCAAATCGATCATGTCTGATGACATTAACGTCTTGGAAGCGCTCGTTTCGACGACGCCACACCCTCCTACGTCTGTCCAAAAAATCAACAGTGAACCTTGACTCATCTGAAAACATCACATTGCTCCAGCGTCGATTATCCCAGTGTTGACGATCCCTACACCAACGACGTCTTGCCTGAATGTGATGATCTCTCAAACAAGGGATCACGCGAGGACGTCGGGCGCGAAGGTGACCCCTATGCAGTCGATTCCGAATCGTCTGGCCACTCACTCTCACACCAGTGTCTGTTTGAAGACGAGCGCTGATCTGATTTGCTGTGATGACACGATTTCTCAAGGCCAAGGTACGGATAAATCGATCCTGGGCTTGAGTTGTCGCCCTGGGTCGACCTGAGCGTGGTCTGTCCTGTACAGATTGTGTATCACGGTATCTGGACCATAGCCTGCTTATGACAGACTGAGAAACATTCATCGTCCGCGCCACAACCGCCTGTGTTGTGCCGATCTGTAGCATGCCAAGGGCACGTAACCTTTCATTTTGGGTAAGCCGACGCATATCAAAATTTGTTTTCTGGTCACTAAAACAATTAAACTGATGTTTCCACCCTGGAATTCAATGCCACAATGACTGTAACATTCAAAGTCAGAGTCGTGCAAATCTTGGGTTGGACCCCCATGATGATCCCAAGCATCACATGCATTCCATGCGGTAGCTATTGGTGCGTTTGGGCGTCACATGTAACTGGAAATGTTTCTTCTGTTAGGTTCTATAGTGACTTTTTTCGTAGTCATTTGCATATTTTAGTATTATGCCCCCAAAATCAAATATCCCCTACTTTGAATAGTATATTTACACTATTTGCGTACAGGGGTGGACATTTTTCATAAAATCAGGGACCATAATTCAGGACGTTACGATCCAATAAGCGCAAATATTGAAAGGAACCAAGATCTCTGGGTTATAAACATGCATTTCAAGTTTCATCAAAATCGAATAAAAATTGTGACCTCTAGAGTGTACACAAACAAATTGTGGACAGACAGGGATAACAATATACATGTACCTCCACATGAAAATGCGGGGGGTATAAAAATATATAATGGAATTGTTCAGCTTGTAATTACGAATGCATCAATTTTATGCATAGTTATTGTCACTGGCCTCTTTGCTACAGTGATCATCATCCTTTGGAAATCTCACCAGCAGTTGCCAGACGAGATACATCCACATTTTATAAGAGATGGAAGATGGAGAACAAGCTAAAAAAACTAAACACGATTTTTTGTACAATCCGGGGCCATAATCCAGGAAGTTACGGTCCAATATTCACGAATATCAAAAGGAATCAAGATCTTTTGGATATAATCATACATTTAAGTTTCATCAAGATCGAATAAAAATTGTGAGTTCTAGAGGGTCCACAACCTTGGTACTTTTACACTATTTGCGTTCAAGTAGTAGCCATTTTGTCGGGCAGTTTTGGTCCCATTTTTATGAAATTCGAACTCATGCATCATTAGGGTGTAACAGTGATATATTTAAACATTTTTTTAAATCGGATAAAAATTGTGACATCTAGAGGTTCCACAAGGAAAAAAAGTGATTTTTTGTACAATCAGGGGCCATAGTCCAGGTATTTGTGCATATTGAAAGAAACCAAGATCTTTGCGTTATAAACATACATTTCAAGATTCATCAAAATCTAGAGGGTCCACAATCTAGGTTTTACATAGTTTTACACTATTTGCGTACAAGGAGTGGCCATTTTGTCCAGCCTTTTCGGTCAGATTTTAAAGAAATTCAAACTCAATCTTCATTGGGGTTAACAGTGATAAATATAAATTGCAAATTCTAGAAGGTCCACAAGCTAAAAACGTGATTTTTCCGACAATCAGGGGCTATAATCCAGGAAGTTATGTTCAGTTATGCACGAGTATCGAAAGGAACCAAGATCTTCGTGATATAAACATAAATTTAGAGTTTATCAAAATCAGATCAAAATTGTGACCTCTAGTGGGTCCACAACCTTAATATACTATACATTTACAATATTTGCGTACGAGGAGCGGCCATTTTGTCTGACATTTTCCGTCCGATTCGAACTCAACCATCAATATGGTGTAACGGTGATAGTTTAAATCTGATAAAAATTGTGTCCTCTGGAAGGACCACAAGCTAAAAACGCGATATTTCATACAATCAGGGGCCATGATCCAGGATTTTACATCCCGATGTATGCGAATATCAAAAGGAACCATACATACATTTCAAGTTTCATCAAAATCTGATGAAAATTTCTGGCCTCGATCTTTCGTAATGCATGAAGTTACGATCGATACACGCCAATTTTGAAAGGAACCGAGTTACGTCAAAATCGGATAAAAATTTTTGCGATCTGTAGAGTGTCCACAAACAAATTGTGGACAGACGGACGAACAGGGCTGACAACAATATACGTCCACATGAAAATGTGGGTGTATAGAAATGTCAGTTATTAGTGTCTGACATATATATTTGGTACAACTGAAATCATTTTTTGCAGGCCTAGATGTGTATACATTCAAATAACATATGTAACAAGCCAACTGTGAGGCTGATGTCCCCTGCCAAAATCCTCAAATAAATAGATGACACATATTAATTAATCGCACATCTATTTTTTTCAAAAGTATCAAGCAACCAAACTGATTATCAACTATACACTAAGTTTCATCACTCTCTATCAGATAGAATCAAAGTTATCTTGTCCCAAATCATCGACCAAGGAAATTGCTTATCTCTGCTTAGCTTTAGCCGATATCTTAATCATTGAACTCAGTCAAGATAAACATCTACATCAAGTTTAAACATATTACCTCAATTAGAAGCAGAGTTGTTATGTTCCAAAGTCTTGTCCAATCAAAATGCTTATTGCTCCTTAGCCTAAGCAGACAATTCTCATCATCGAACTTAGTCAAGGTATTGATGTAATGAAACTATACACCAAGTTTCATCACTCTCACTTAAATAGAACTAAAGTTATCGTGTCCCAAAGCATCAACCAATAAAATTGCTTATCTCTGCTTACCCTAAGCAGAAAATGCTCATCTTCGCACTCCATCAAGGTATTGACCTCATAAACACCTACACCAAGTTTGTACATTCTAGCTCAATTAGAAGGAGAGTTATTGTGTTCCAAAGTTTCGGCCAATCAAATTGCTTATCACCCTGTTTACCCTGAGCAGAAAATGCTCATTATCGAACTTAGTCAAGGTATTGATGTAATGAAACTATACACCAAGTTGCATCACTCTCACTTATTTAGAACTAAAGTTATCGTGTCCCAAAGCATCAACCAATCAAATTGCTTATCTCTGCTAACCCTAAGCAGAAAATGCCCATCTTGTAACTCCATCAATGCATTGACCTAATAAACATATACCCCAAGTTTGAGAGAGAGAGAAAGAGAAATGGGGTTTAACGTCCACTCGACACAAACTAGGTCATTTCAGGACTAACATATGGTTTAATTTTATTTCAATAATTCGCATGCGCATAGGGGTCTTTAGCAGTGGAAGGAAACCGGAGGACCCGGAGAAAACCCATGAGGTTGGACAGGCGACCCTACTCCTTGTCACGTACAACTGGGGATTCGAAACCACGCCAGTTGACTCAATGACAGGCTTTATGATACAGCACGCATGTGCTAACCATTCGGCCCAAAAAGTGTGACAGACGGACGGACAAACCCATTTTAATAGTCCCCTGCTTTCTTCGAAAGGCGGGGGACAATAAACACTAAAAAATAATATGGAACACAATTACTATTTTCATTATAGCGATGTTTCCTTGAAGGTTCTCTCAACGTTATTTGCTTGATAACGCTGAGAGAATCTTCAACAAAATATTGCTTTAATTTAAATAGTAATTGTGTTTATAACCTTTGTCTTATCCTTTTATATCGTACCATGTGTTGTCAATACTAATGTTGTATTATTTGTAACAAATTCATCTTTCATGAAGCTTTCTAAAAATATCTTTATTTTTCTTACATTTCAACCAGTTTTATAAATAAATTGTTTTAAAATTTCAACACAGATTTCATTCAGTCTTTTGAAAAGGCAAAATTTGATAATTTAGCATTAGTAGATTGCGATAGAGGTTTTTTAATGTCTATTTCTTTTTGTGCTTTTTTATTGGAAGGCTTAATGTCCGCATCTTCATCCTCTCTTTTACGTTTTTTCTGTTCTGTATTTTCATCTCCATTTTTGGCATTGGCTTTCAAGGATTTAGCTTTCTGTATCCACACCTATAGAGAAAAGTAAATTATCAGTATACTGCTATCAAAGAATGGAATGGGGGTTGACGACAAACCTGATAACTTTTAATTTGGACCTCGTGGTTAGTAAGGGAGCACCATACTCCCTTGGGTTTTTTCAATCTAATCCCAGATTGAGAAAGTTCATCAGTGATTTAGGACGGAGGACCTGGCAAGAAACAATAGTCGTTCGGAAGGGACAAAAAAAAAAACAACCTGAGGTTCCGTGTACACAATGGCATGCATGTAAAAGAACCCTTGACAGTTGGAATTCAAAATAAAAGTAAGCCGTAGCGCCGTCATCCAGGCAAAATGTCCCTCATAGAACATTGTATGGCATATGGACGTCTTTTAATTAGAGTGCAGGAGCAGAACGGTAGATATTAAACACCATTTCATTTCATTTTTTGTCCAATCCAAATGCTAAGCATCCTTGCAGGCACAACCGCCTGACAAATAGTACAGGTGTCCAGGATTCTTTTTAAATGCATACCAATGAGTAAACAAGTAGATATTGTGTATTTTATCCCATCCAATACAGCAATGACGAGGAAAAACCATGTTAATAAATCCTGAGGAAGTCTCTTTGCCGGTCGAACCCCTGATCTGGTGAGTGAGATAGCACCTTAAAGCGAGAATTTCATATTTTCTAAGAAAGTCAAAACATAATTATTTCTATGTCTTTTGCTCAATAGGTTATTAATTCACTATTATACGATCATAGGTGTCATTCTCACACTTAAAACTCATTTACACAGGAAATAACACCACAATTACCTCCCTTGTTTTCATATTGAAAACAATGGTCAGCCATTTCCTCAACGTTGGAATTTGAAGTTGAAAATGATATTTTTGCCAATTTCTCAGATGGCAATAGTGAATTATAGGATTATTCTTTAACAAGGTAGGACTGTTTATGGATACCATCTATTTTGAGGCTTTATTTTAATACGTTTTAAAAATATAACTTAAAAATTTGAAATTTCTGCTTTAAACACAGTGCCATGATCAATCTTTCAATAAATTTTTACTGCTACCATTTCATATAATACCTGTCTATCATCTTTTGATAAAGATCTAAATCGATCTGTTGCCATGGATCCAAAATCTTCTTCAGATAAGTCTGGATGTTCTTCCTCTAAATCTGTTTTATTGTCTTCCAGCCATAATTCAAATGCATTCAGACATCTAGAAGATAAATTATACACAACATACAAAAGGGATTTTCAAATAACTGAAATGACAATATAAGATTAAACATACATTATGCAAGAGCTAAATCTGCCTATTGCAGGTCTTTCTTTAAGCCTGAAATGTTATCTAAATTTTTAATTAGACATTAATTAATAAAACAAGACCATATTTTGATTTAATCTATAAATAGGAGAGCGAGACTTATGTTCAAACATTATCTATTTGTTTGGCTAGCTCTTTATCTAAATCTTACATAATCTATCTTTAAAGTAAAAATCTTTTTTTTAATCCTGAGTTAGTTTTCTCGTACATTGTCAAGAATTAATTACACAATCAATGCCTGGAGACATAAAACTTATTTAAAGAATTACTCAAATTATTAATTTAGTCACTGAGTAAAATATACAAAATCTTTGAAGTATTTAGATGAATAATATATCAACAGGAAAGAACTTTAGTTAATGAATGAATGAAATGGTGTTTAATGTCCTACAGTTCTGAACCGACTGGGCATATGCCATACAGTGTGCTAAGAGGGAAATTTGGTCCGGACAGCAGCACTACAGCCTAATCTTATATAGAATTCCAACCCAAGGGTTATTTTACGTGCACATCAATGTGTACACATTACCTCGGTTTTTTGTCTCATCTGGAAGACTATACTGACAAGGGTTTTAGTTTATGACAGTGATGGGATTTGGCCCGTATATTCCGGACTTGTCCGAATCTTTTTTTCAAACGCCCAAAATTGTTTGACCGGGAATATGCCCAATCGGACATCAAGACATGGTGAATAATATTCAAAATTCCAAATTAATATAGTTTACTGAGTGTATAACTACCACTCAACCCGATTATCGTCGATAATACGCTGGGTTTATTAGGTAATTAAGTGATCAACGTATTTATTGTGTTATACCGTCTAAGTGATCAACGTATTTATCGTGTTATACCGTCTATAGTATAAACCTACCTTGATTTAACTACTTAATCTGCCTTGATTGACTGACTTAATCCTTTGTCGGACAATTCATCAATCTAATCTTAAACAGAAGTCATTGCTTTCCTTTTGTCGGACTATTCATCAATTCAATAAGAATGATTATAATTTTAATCCACCTCATTTGTCGGGCATCTTAATCGCATTGATGTGAGCCGACATCATCTATAATAAACTAATCATAGATGTCACATATCGTAAGAGTAAATAACACCCTAAATCAATGGACAGTCATTTTGTCTACGATATCTTTTACGTCTTTTAAGAATCCATATAGAAATTCTCATCCACAGTGGTACTTTCCCTTGATCTCGAGCGCGGCACGAATATTGCTTATTTTTAGGCAGTGCTTACTATGAAGCCGTGTGATGAGTCACGTAGGCTATTAGTCTCTATTATCCAGAAAAATATTCTACGAATATGTTGAAGACTAGGAGTTTCTGGGTGACCGAGACTAGTACGCACCCAGCAAAATAACAAAAAGGGGAGGGGCTACCAATAGCTATATGAGCAGAAATTCTAACGTATTTGTAGGCGTCAATCATTCTGCTGTGTTGCCTATGATGCCTGTCACTCTGTCGTGACTATGAAAGAGTATTATTCGCTGAAGTTAGCTATGCCTGTTTACAAGTGATTTAACTATTTCGGAAGTTCTGCATTCATTTGCTGCCGTATAAACGAAGACACGTAATTCTAAAGGAATATTATGGTTGTGAATTTGATGCCGAAGCAGGATCGGCAAGCTTTCATTCAACATATCAAGAAAATGCTTAATTTTGTAGGACATTTACTGACATAAATTTGAATGCCGTACGGGAATTAAGTGTGAAAAATAGCGAGGTCACCAATTTTTATTACGTACGGGATTTGAATATTTTGTTGACATGTGGTTTTTAATTGTGGTATGAATTGAATACTGTACGGGAATTAAATATGAAAAATAGCAAGGTTCACCTATTTTTATTACGTACGGGATTTGAATATTTTAACATGTGACTTTTAATTGTGGTACGAATTCGTCTGCTTAAATAACGATAAGAGTTATGCCCCTTTATTTTCGGTAAAATGTCCGACAAGTAAAATTTTGAAATCCCATCACTGGTTTATGATATATAAAACTTACTTCTTATTATTAGATTCTTCTGTAGATTTATCTTTACACGTCTTCTGGACATCTGTTTTAGATTTTTCACCTTTAGCTGTAAATAACTTGGATTGGGATGGAATCTAAAAATAATGGAATGAAAAGGAATTCTATGTCAACCCAATGCTTTCTTTACTTTGAGACTAACACAATAAAGCAATAAACTAACTCATACTTCTGGAAAAACAGCTGCTTATTTTATAGAGAGAGAGAGAGAAATGGGGTTTAACATTCACTTGACACAAACCAGGTCATTTCGGGACTAACATATGGTTTAATTCTATTTCAATAATTCGCTTGCGCATAGGGGTCTTTAGCAGTGGAGGACCCAGAGAAAACCCACGAGGTTGGAAAGGCGACCCTACTCCTTGTCACGTACAACCGGGGATTCGAAACCACGCCAGTCGACTCAATGACAGACTTTATGATACAGCGCGTGCACGCTAACCATTCAGCCATCCACCCCCCCCTGCTTATTTTATTTGGGCAAGAATACTCTTTGAAACATCACCCAAATAAAATAAACAGCTGTTTTTCCAGAAGTATGAGTTATAGTTTAAAAATTACATTAAATATACATTATGGGAGATTAGATAACGAGTTGGCAGTTCTCACAATAATAGTTAAAAACTACATAATGTAAAGGCAATTTGCTAAAAATTCCAGTCAAATTGATCCACTATGAACTGAGAAATAAGCGATTGAAAGTTTCGCATAGCCTCGGTCATCATTACTGAAGTCGGTACGACAAAAATCATAGTCTCGATTATCCATTTAATCGTTAAATCGAGAAGGAAAGTTATGCAGCAAATTGGATCATTATCCAACCATTATCGAAGGCTAGCGTTGACATAGAGAGTTGATTATGGTCTTGATACGTTAATTAATGTCTAATTAATAGTTTATATAACATTTCAGGCCTAAAGAAAGACCTACAATAGGCAGATTTATCACTTGCATAATGCATGTTTAATTAGACCATGCTAATTTGAATTTCTGTTCTTCAGGAACATACGGAAGGTCTGTGTAACCAGGAGTATTTTTTTTTTTTATGTTATTTTTTATATGTGGTTGATTATGGCTAAATCTATTTGTTAAGGCCAACTCAATTTTGTCAAGCTCGCCAAGATGTAAATAAGGTTAGGGCACGTGATAGTTGGCAAGAATTGTAGGTTAGGGTAGGGTAAGCATTAAGGCTAGGTCCAGGGTTAGGGTTGGGTTTGGCGCTAGCCCTGTTTATAATTTGTGACCTTTGACCAAACTTGAAGTTGGCCTTATCAAATAGATCTGACCGGTTGATTATCCAGTATCTTTGGCCAAACCAAGTAAGAGTTGTGTCCCTTCGAGCAACAAATTCGATAATTCTTGCATTAATATAAATAAATGAAGAACGGAGAGGAGTTCAGAATAACCTGCGTTTTTTTTTATCAAAATGAACTCCTACCTTTTTCTGGTTAGTTTTAGAAATCTTGGTACTAATAGGCATTATTGATGTTGATTTTGGTTTTTCTATCTTTTTATTCATACCATCAAACACTTGAGTACCTTTAACTGGCTGTTTCATCTTCTCTTGTGTAGAAATCTGGAAGAATAGACGAAACTTATATTAGGTTCAGATATCTGCATATCTATGACTCTTAAATAAACTTGTAGGTTACATTGTAATCTGATAATATTACCCCCAATATATAATGAATTCTAATACAGGTTGCAATTTGTATATGATATTGTAATTACTTTTGATATGTCATAATTCCAGCTGAAAAATGTCTCAGAAACTGAATATATACTCAGAGAAAGAGAGAGAGAGAGAGAGATAGGGAGAACTGGGGTTTAACTCTACTCGACGCAAACTAGGTCATTTCGGGAACAACATATGGTTTTTAATTTTATTTCTATAATTCGTTTGCACGTAGGGGTCTTTAGCAGTGGAAGGAAACCAGAGGAGAAAACCCACAAGGTTTGTCATGTACAACCGGGGAATTGGAACCACACCAGTTGACTCAATTCAATGACAGACCTTATGATACAACGCACACACACTAACCATTCGGCCATTCAACCAGACAATGTCACTGGTGTCATGGTGTCAATGATGTCATGCTCGGTATTGATTTGTTACAATATGTTAACATAATTTAACATAGAAACATGGTTTAATCTGTGGAGCCACGGTGGCTAAGTGGGTAGGACACTGGCTCGCTAGCCTGGAGGTTGCGTGTTCGATCCCTGCATGGGCCGAGAAAGTACCACAGATTTTTTCGTTGTGGTTTCTCCTGGCCAGTGGCGCAGAACCTACCAAGGACAGCTGTCTAGTCAGTTGGATGGGACGGAAAAACGAGGTTCCATGTATACATTGGCGTGCATGTAAAAGAGCCCTTGGCAGTTGGAATTCGATATAAGAGTAGGCCATAGTGCCGCTGCCCAGGCAAAACTTCAATCATAGCACACTGTATCGCGTATGCCCGTCTTTATTAGCCCAGTCGGAGCAGAACAGTAGGACATTAAACCTCATTTCATTTGTGTTGATGTAGGAAAAGAATTCGAAGAACTACAAGTAATTTGAAGGACAATAGACTAGACATACCTTGAAAGGATTAGATCTACCTATTAATGGAGCAGCAGGTGTTGTTGTTGTCTTAGGTTTTGGTTTGGTATTTAATAGAAGACCTGCAAAACAAACAGAATACTTCATTTGAAATTTAATTAGAGATTTATGCTATATGAGTTATAATGGTATGTGAATATGAGAACAGTCTGACATAAAAGTTCTCTGTTTATTTAAACATGATTGAAACTAGAACCCTGGTACTGCTGCCTTGTGTCATCTGAAGAGTTATCTAATCAATAAAATTGTTGATATAATTTCTCCAGTCCATATACTATCACTTTAACGGAGCTAAATCGCTAATATTTGGGACCTAGAAATTGACCCAAATGGGTCGAAACGCATATAATAATGTATTCTGATTGTATATGAACTGATTTACATTCAGTTGTTTCTGTTTTGACTCTAATTTCAAATCAGTTAGGTCCAGCGAAATACGGCATGAGTCTCAACCGAATATAAATTTCTAGCGTCTGGTTATTCCAGTCTATTGCGCATGCTCTCCAGATAAGTTATGGCATCGCCGTATGACATGAGTTGTGGAATATGTCTAGCCTCGCTCCTCCTGGTCACTTGTTACAAATGACGATGCAATGCACTATGGTATATGATTCGTGTACCTATGGTAAAATGTTTATTTTGTCTTAAATATTGGATATCAGAAGCCATCTTTTCCCGGTAAGATAACAACATCAATGTTGATTTGAATTAACAAATAATTTCTGTTTTCAACGTGTAAGACTTTGGATGATATTGAGATAGAGACTTAGCTACTTTAAATTATTTTTTAAAGGGCATTTAGTGAAAGCAACATATATACTATTCAAAAAAAGTAGGGGATATTTGATTTTTAAGTGTTATTAAAGTCACCTAATGAAACTGACGAAGAAACAAATGACAAAATGAAATGAAGTTCACATTCATCGATTTATTCCAAATGATTGTTAGACTAAGTAAGGCACAGACTGACCATTATAAGGGTAAAATGATACCCGGGGTCAAACAGCAAAGTTACCACAGCATCACAACCAAGTCAGTAACGGGTAAATCCTCCTCTGTTTGCCAAACAAGCATTGATCCAACGTGGCATACTCCTAATGAGACGTCTAAGGTCATTTTGGTCCAGATTGTCCCATTCCTGTTGCAACGCAGCAGCAAGTTCTTGGACATTGGCAGGACGTTGTTGACGTTGACGTAACCTCTGTCCAAGCATGTCCCAGACATGCTTGATGGGGGAGAGGAAGGGACTCAGTGCTGGCCAAGGTAATGTGGTGATGTTCTGTTGTTGGAGGTAACCTGTAACGATCCTGGCCCTGTGACATCTTGCGTTGTCATCCTGGAAGATGAAACGGCGGCCATGACGTCGTGCGAACGACACAACATGGACTGCCAAGATGTTGTCCCGGTAGTACTGGCCTGTAACACGCCCTGCAACAACATGTAAAGCCGTTCTTCCAGCAACAGTGATGCCTCCCCACACCATAACAGAACCACCCCCAAATCGATCATGTCTGATGACGTTAACGTCTTGGAAGCGCTCGTTTCGAAGACGCCACACCCTCCTACGTCTGTCCAAAAAATCAACAGTGAACCTTGACTCATCTGAAAACATCACATTGCTCCAGCGTCGATTATCCCAACGACGTCTTGCCTGAATGTGATGATCTCTCAAACAAGGGATCACGCGAAGACGTCGGGCGCGAAGGTGACCCCTATGCAGTCGATTCCGAATCGTCTGGCCACTCACTCTCACACCAGTGTCTGTTGGAAGACGAGCGCTGATCTGATTTGCTGTGAGGACACGATTTCTCAAGGCCAAGGTACGGATAAATCGATCCTGGGCTTGAGTTGTCGCCCTTGGTCGACCTGAGCGTGGTCTGTCCTGTACAGATTGTGTATCACGGTATCTGGACCATAGCCTGCTTATGACAGACTGAGAAACATTCATCGTCCGCGCCACAACCGCCTGTGTTGTGCCGATCTGTAGCATGCCAAGGGCACGTAACCTTTCATTTTGGGTAAGCCGACGCATATCAAAATTTGTTTTCTGGTCACTAAAACAATAACTGATGTTTCCACCCTGGAATTCAATGCCACAATGACTGTAACATTCAAAGTCAGAGCCGTGCAAATCTTGGGTTGGACCCCCATGATGATCCCAAGCATCACCTGCATTCCATGCGGTAGCTATTGGTGCGTTTGGGCGTCACATGTAACTGGAAATGTTTCTTCTGTTAGGTTCTATAGTGACTTTTTTCATAGTCATTTGCATATTTTAGTATTATGCCCCCAAAATCAAATATCCCCTACTTTTTTTGAATAGTATAATACAGGGCTTGCCACCAGCAAATTGGAGGCGAGTAGATGACTACTCACGCAAATATAGACTTGCGCGAGTGAGGCGAGTACATGTATTTACTCACGCAGAATGATGTGCGTGAGTAGCCATTTAAATTTCATGTGCCTAATGGCAATGCTCTTGTCACTTCGGTGGAAGCGGACGTTGAATAAAGCTATTTCACACACAATGACAATGCATACTCTTTTATTTCCTTGGCAGTAATATTATCTGTAAATCGTCTTCCCATGACAAGAACGTTGCAAGAGAAACTGGGCTTCCCTTTGCCATCGTTGGCGTGCTGAGGGGATTCGGGTAAAGCTTAGAAAGGTAAAAGAACAGGCAAAACAATTTCAATCCCATCAATTTGCAGAAAAGATGCGGGATCGAAAGAATTGCTATTAATAGAAACGACAACATCCGCTCAATGTTTGATTATCCATACACGGCAAAGGACAAACGCTTAAAAACCGCCTGGCAGTTCGCGTCTCAAAGTATTTTTAGTAACAGTTGGCACTGGAAAGACACGCCGCGTGCGCAATAGTGCATCGATATGAAGGCATACAAATTGTTTACAGCTTTTTATATTACGATATTCAATTATTTCTGATTAAATTATTTTTTATATTTGCGCGAGTACTTAATCACTCACGTAAATTTGGTTTTACGCGAGCGTAGCGTGCGCGCGAGTAATTACTCGCGTCTCGTGGCAAGACTTGTAATAACTGATAATTTATTAACTGCAATGTTTCAATGAGGGTATCAAGCAATACTGCAATGTTATCAAGAAACACTGCAATGTTTCAATGAGGGTACTCTCACCGTTACCAACTAATACTGCAACGTTATCAAGCAAAACTGCAATGTTTCAATGCGAGTACTCCTACCGTTATCAAGTAATACTGCAACGTTTAAATGGGGCTACTTTCATCGTTATCAAACAATACTGCAACGTTTTAATGAGTATACTCTTACTGTTATCAAGCAATGATGCATTTAATAAAGCTAGTGAATGTTATCCATAAGCTGTCTGTAATTGTATCATTTGAAGGGTAGAACCCATTGATAAACTTGAAAGTTATTTGAAGCCATTATAACTTCTATTTGTTCAACATCACCACCAATATTAAGGACGGTTTCATCAAATATCACCACCAATATTAAAGACCGTTTGGTTAAATAAATATTACCACCAATGTTAAAGATGGTTTCATCAAATATTATGAAAGTCATGATGAGAGATATGATTTTAACTTTGGTTTACCTGTAGGTTGATCCTGTCCGTCTGCTTCCTCTCTTTCTTCTATATTATCATCTACTATATCATCCTCTGTCTCTTCTTCCATTGGTTCTTCTGCTATCACATGACCATTACTTTTTGACCAATCATCTGCTTGATAACTACACACAAAATATACAAATATCTTTTGATAATCAAAATCCATTTCGACGTAATTAATGATTTTTACACAAGAGAATAACAAAACCTTTTTAATGCAGAGGAATTTTACTAGATAAGGATCACTCTCCCAACATTTTAATTGAAGTTGAGTTGGCAAGCCTCACAGCCAACAGTTGTATAGTTTATATACTAGTCATTGACTAATAAGAGAGAGAGAAAAATGGGGTTTACCGTCCACTTGACACAAACTAGGTCATTTCGGGACTAACACATAGTTCAATTTTATTTCAATATTTTGTTTGTGCGTGGGGGTCTTTAGCAGTTGGAGGAAAACCATGAGGTTGGACAGGCAACCCTACCCCTTGTGACATACAACCGAGGAATCGAAACCACGCCAGTTGACTCAATGATAGACCGTATGATACAGCATGCACGAGCTAACCATTCGGTCATCCCACCCCTGACTTATAAGATAGCTTGTGGCTAGTAAATGATTGATCTCCTGCTTTCATATTCAGGGTCATTAAATAAAATGTCATATATGAAACATTGTAGCTCTCAATCAGATTACTATTACATTTATATTACATTTATTATGAAAGGTGAATTGAAAGTATGTAACCAAATAGCTTTGGAAGCCATAATATCTTTGTCAGGTATGTTCGATATGGCAACATTTAAGATTCATTTTTTTATAATCTTTAATATCACTGACACAGATAGATATTATAAGCAACATCACATGCTCATTATGTTGAACAGTTTGTTCCCCAGCTACAACCTGTTTCAGCACTTGTACCCAAATATCATAAATAAATAGTGGACACACTAGTCGAATGATTCGGCTGAATCAATCGGTGCGGAAATTCACCTACTCTGTCCACTGTCATTTTGATATATTCGCCTAGTGTGTCCGCTTCATTGAAGCATTTGCCCGATTGTAGAATTCATTAGCCAATCACCACTCATATCGAGAAGTCACGTGATTGTTTGAAAACATGGTTGCTGCCATGTTTAATCATGTGACATGAAAGGTGAGGCAATAGACTGGTGAATCAGGCGAATAATTTGCCTAGTGTGTCCACTGATTCGGTCGCAATTTGGCCGAATGATTCGGCTAATGTATCCATTGCTTTATGTTAATATGTTTTGATTACATGTATATATAATCCTTTTAAGACATACAGAAATAGATTTCACTAAAATTAACACACCTGTATGTGTATCGAAACATAGCATGTTAATAAATTCAGAAGTAGTATATCCATATAAGTGTGTTAATTTTACATGTATACATACATGATAGGGCTTATTCATCATTTAATAAACTATACTAGATCCGAAAAATAATCTATAAAACAAAACCTACTTGACAGTATTAAATAAATTATCTTCTTCCTCCTCCTCTTCTACCTCATCTGTTTTATCTTGAGCTAACTGACTGATTCTCTCTGCTAGTTGTAATTTACGTAATCTACTGGCGTATTTTATAGCTAACTGTAACGTATGATCTTCCGACATTAACTTACAAACTTCTAGAGCTCGTTGTTCTCTATCTGATCTCACAGCCAACTGAAATATATTTAATATATTTTCTAATCAAGTTCAAGAAGCATATATGAGAGACAAAGAGATTGTTTAAAAAACATTTGACACAAACTAGGTCATTTCAGGACTAAGATATGGTCCAATTTTATTTCAATATTTCACTTGTGCGTAGGGATTTTTAGCAGTGGGAGAAAACCTGAGGACCTGGAGAAAACCCATGAGGTTGTACAGATGACCCCTTGTCGCATACAAGCGGGGAGTAGAAACGACACCACTTAACTCAATGACATATCTTATAATCTTACTCGAACCCATTAATCCATACGGCCATATACTCCCCGGAAACCCTCTTCCAACATGCAAGGTAAATATAAAACTGATTAATTAGAATGAGACTGTAGTGTTCAATGATGATGTTCAATTGATTTAAGTCTCATGGTCAGTTGAGAAATGTCTCGGAATCTGAATTTATACTAAAGTTAACTTCAACTTTCTCACCACCCACAATCAAATTATTTCAGCCTATTTTTAAATATTCCAGAATTTATTATTGAATTTTCCAGTTTTAAATTGCTGCATAACCTTTGGTGGGTCATGATTTTATAGGCTGATATTAGTGATATAATCATGTAATAAATCTCATGGATAAATAATCATGTAATAAATCTCATGGATAAATAATCATGTAATAAATCTCATGGATAAATAATCATGTAATAAATCTCATGGATAAATAATCATGTAATAAATCTCATGGATAGATGAGATGAGTCTTACTGTAAATCTTTAATAATCAATAAATCATACTTACAGCAAATAATTTCATGAGAGCTTCTTGTGACGGTTTCAATACTTCTTCTAATTCGTAACTATCAGCAGGTAGATTGTGGGAGAATAACTTACATCGTAACAGACATTCCTGGTAATACAAAATAATACATGTAGTTGAAATGAACTGGTGTAACCTGGGTATCATATGATATGGTCTTGTTTATTAAGCCCTAATTTATAGCTTATTTATAATTAGGAATAGAGAGAGAGAGAGAAATGGGGTTTAACGTCCACTCGACACAAACTAGGTCATTTCAGGACTAACGTATGGTTTAATTTTATTTACATAATTCGCTTGCGCGTAGGGGTCTTTAGCAGTGGGAGGAAACCGGAGGACCCGGAGAAAACCCACGAGGTTGGACAGGCGACCCTACTCCTTGCCACGTACAACCGGGGATTCGAAACCACGCCAGTCGACTCAATGACAGACTTTATGATACAGCGCGCGCACGCTAACCATTCAGCCATCCAACCCCCCTATAATTAGGAATAATATAGCTTTTAATTTTTGTGTTTACAACAATAATTAGTATAAAAATATTTTTCTAGAACACTTGGTGACACTTTCACTTTCCAATTCTTGAGGAAGTTTACACAGATAACATTTTTTGTTGTACTCACCTCAAACTGTGACTTTTCTGTGTTCATTTCACACAGTGGTAGCTGGTAAGGTAAGATGGCTACAGCTGGTCGCGGTAAAGTGGCAGGATAACGGGAACCTTTACAAGGTATGCATCGGATTTGTTGAGGATTCTCATGTAAACTAACAATCCAGTAATGATCTGATTTTCCTTTAGCCTTAAAAAATCAAATATTCTAGCTGTAAACACAGTTGTCCAATCGATAGAGTCTGCAAATAGGCCAGCAAAAGTTGATAGAACTACTTTTTGTAACTCTTCAACACTGAAGTGGATTTATCAATCTGATTAAAACACAGATCCTATTTCGTTCCGTTTTTTTACAATTTAAAATTTCGTTTTACTTGTTTTTACTACACTAGAATCTGGAGTTGTTATCATTGAAGTGTTCTGGATGATGTGATGGATTAGCCAATGAAATGGTCTGTTACAACAAGCTTTTGGTGTGAGCTCCCGGAACTGTGGGTAATCCACTAGAAACATCAATGCTGATTGGTTAATCACATATCTGACGTAATGGGGACAAAAGACGCTCGTATGACCTCTGACACATTTCCCAAAACAACTGGTCAGATCTTAATGTAGTGTAGGCCATCGAAAGTACAAAAAAAACGAAACGAAATATAGATCTGTATTTTTATCAGATTGGTGGATTTATTTATCCTGCGTCGTTTAAAGCAGAGATATTGAAATGTGTTCATACACAACAAAATAGTGCCAAATAATAATGGTCATATAGTTAAAGGGGAATAACTCTAATTAACATGGGCATTATTCAGATACACAGCTGTGAGGTGTTGATATATCTTCAACCTTAAAAATTTCCAAAATCAATCTTTATGATCATAGATTATCTATGTTACAAGATACAATTTATTGTACTCACTTGATCTTTTGTGTTTGCTACTTGACTCCACTGAAAACCTAATCCTTTATTCAACATTCTTAATATACCACTAGAATCCACAGAAAATGGTGTTCCTTCTTCTGAAAACCTGGAAAACAACACAAATTTATCATTACAGCTCAAGTCAATAAGTGGTTCCACAAATTCTCTTACATATTTAATTCATTATGTCTACCTACATGTAAGCGTGTCTGGAAAATATGATTATTTTGCAAATGACAAAATGTCCGAACTAATTGTGTCTGATATTTTTAACCTTGTGCCATACATGTTTTAATAATAATATTCAAAACATTGATAAAGATACAAATCAGTGCCCCCAAATATGAGATCTACCAGAGAAATTATACCTTACAAAGCCTAAATCTGTGTCTGACAATGTCCACAACAGGTGCCTTATTTCCAGACTTGCATGTAAGTGAAGAACTCCTTTAAGCACTTAGCTAGCCTATCCATGTTAAAGTAGTTGATCTAGGTAACTTACCCTCTCCATGTTAAAGTAGTTAATATAAGTAACCTACCCTATCCATGTTAAAGTAGTTAATATAAGTAACTTACCCTATCCATGTTAAAGTAGTTGATATAAGTAACCTACCCTATCCATGTTAAAGTAGTAGATATAAGTAACTTACCCTATCCATGTTAAAGTTGTTTTAGGTGATATAGGTAATGGTATATCATTAAATATTGTTCTTTTTCTACTTCCTACTGTTAATAATGATACACCTAATAACTGTTCTCCTGGTATACCTACAATATACACAATAAATACATTAAACGTATAGGGGTCTTGGGCGACAGAAGGGGGGTTGGATGGCTGAATGGTTAGCGTGCGCGCGCTGTATCATAAAGTCTGTCATTGAGTCGACTGGCGTGGTTTCGAATCCCCGGTTGTACGTGGCAAGGAGTAGGGTCGCCTGTCCAACCTCGTGGGTTTTCTCCGGGTCCTCCGGTTTCCCCCCACTGCTAAAGACCCCTACACGTAAGCGAATTATGTAAATAAAATTAAACCATATGTTAGTCCCGAAATGACCTAGTTTGTGTCGAGTGGACGTTAAACCCCATTTCTCTCTCTCTCTGGGCGACAGAATGGTCTAAAGGGTGTGCTTTAGACCATAAGGTCTGTCATTGAGCATGGTTTCGATTCCCCGCTTGTTACAAGGAAAAGATCTCCTCTCCAACCTTATGTGTTTTCTCTGGGTACTCCGGTTTTCTCCCACTGCTAAAGACCCCTTCACGCAAGCGAATTATTGAAATAAAACTGAACCATGGGATAAGTCCTGACATGACCTGGTTTGTGTTGAGTGGACGTTAAATTCCATTCCTCTCTCCTTTCACACATCTATGATTACTCTTTCAAGAACACCTAATGTCACTTCTTATTTATCTAAAAACAATTTATCATTACCCAAAGCCTACCTTTCTTCTGAAATCCAAGTCAAATCTAACCCTTCATTTAGGTACGGACAGGTGCTGTGCACAAGGTTCACATAGCTAATAAATTTTGTTGTACATTTGTATTCACACAGCCAAAAAATCTATTTTGTACATACTCAAAAATATTTGATCTTATATGATAGGTAATTTTTTTTAATACTTACCCATTCCTCTATGATATACTAGAATTAATTTGTTATTTTTGGCTGCCATGGAAACTATAGGACCGGGTATAATAAAGGTATCTTGTTGTAGACCAGCTACAGTAAATAATCTAACATTACGTGTTGATGTGGCTACAGCTAACCAACCATTACCAATAGTTACAGCCTAAAATATATAAATATACTAATATAACAATAGTTACGGTCTAAAATATATAAATATACTAATATAACAATAATTACAGTCTAAAATATATAATATAACAATAGTTACTGCCTTAAATATATAAATCTACTAATATAACAATAGTTACAGTCTAAAATATATAAATATACTAATATAGCAATAGTTACTGCCTAAAATATATAAATATACTAATATAATAATAGTTCTAGTCTAAAATAATTTAATATATAAACATACTTATATAATAACAGTATTTACATGTGAAATGAAATGAAATAAGGTTTAACATCCTACTTTTTTGAACCAACTAGGATAATGAAGAGGGGCTTACGCCACACACTGTGTTATGAAGGAAATTTTGCCTGGACAGTGGTACTTGGGTCTACTCTTGTTTTAAATTCCAACTTTCAATGATTCCTTTACACGTATACCAATTTGTAAAAGAGACGTCGGTTTTCTGTACCATCCGACGACTAGACACTGTCCTTAAAGCCCTCTCACCTGCACCAACTGACAAGGGGAAATCACACTGGAAAATACTGGACAATTTTCTCTATCAACTCTGGGATCGAACTCCAGACCTCATGCTTAGTGGGTCAGCGCCTTTACTCACCGAGTCACCATGACTTCAATCTAATATTACATACTGCTCAAAACAGATCAACGGTCTGTATCAGTGACCATATTAATTGTATTTCAGATTTCATCCAAAATATACTGTCATCTCCTACTTTTTTGCACCAACTGGGTCAATGAGAAAGGGTTATACGCCATGCAATGTGCTATGAGGGAGTTTTGTTCTGTCTTTGTTTTATTGTGCAGTTATCCAGCATATTCTATTCAATAAATGAATAAGTTTCTAACCTGTATATCTTCATCATCAGGCATTGTTATTGACCATTCTTTAGCATTATCCCACGATCCAAAATGCATACATGTTAATTTACTACAAAATAAATACAAAATGCATACATAATTTATGACAACATAAAACAAACTGTCTGTAAATAAGGAATATTTGACCATGGGAAAAAGATTTAGAGAAAATATTTTTTGCCTGGACAGCAGACTGTGCAGACATCTGCCAACGTTTTTTTTACGTGCACAGCAATATGTACACAGGACCTCAGTTTTTCGTCCCATAAGAATGAATATACATTGTCCCTTGCCAGGCCCTCAGTCCTGCACCACTGACATGGGGCAACCAAGCTGGAAAATTCCCATAAACTTTCTCGGCCAACACCAGGATCGAACCTGGGACCTCTAGGTTAGCAAACCAACATCTTACTCACTGAGCCACTGTGGCTCCCAACATACCTTGGTGTATCATCATAAGTATGTGATGCTAAAACTACAGCCTCTGATGATAAATCAGCCATTGTATAGTCCATGTTATTACTGATATGTAATGGATGATGTGTAGAGGTATCGTGAAATTCTACATCTATAGAATTCTCTTCATCGTTATTATACTGTCTTATAATACCAACACAATTCCATTTCTATATAAACAACAAAATAAAACTTTATTAGGCTAAATACATTTTTTTTGTATGAGAAACAGCATAAACATCTACATCAAATTTAGGATATTCAAAGGGTTGCCCCAGATTTCAATTTTATCAGAAAGACTGAGGATGTTTAGGTTTAAAAATTAAGGCCACCTTCAGCTTTCATCAAGATCAAGAGACATAAACAGTGCTAGTGCTAACCCTACCCCTAGACCTAACCAACAATCCCCAGCAACAATTAGTGCCACAACTATGTTTACATCTAGTGTGTTGAAATCTGCAGGTGGCCTTAATATTTAGATCTGACCAAGTAGGGACATTATGTCTCAGCAGAGCAAACATTACCTCTCACAGCTCAGAATTGACCCGGAAAAATTCTAAGGATTTAAAATTGGAACATTCTTGTTGTTCCGAGTTTAGTGTTCTCACGCTTTAATAACCAAATGTACGATCCCAATATCTATTAGCATGTTCAGGCACCCAAGTTAAACTGATTTAAAATCCATGGCAATTTTGAACTATACTATTCAAAAAAAGTAGGGGATATTTGATTTTTAAGTGTTATTAAAGTCACCTAATGAAACTGACGAAGAAACAAATGACAAAATGAAATGAAGTTCACATTCATCGATTTATTCCAAATGATCGTTAGACTAAGTAAGGCACAGACTGACCATTATAAGGGTAAAATGATACCCGGGGTCAAACAGCAAAGTTACCACAGCATCACAACCAAGTCAGTAACGGGTAAATCCTCCTCTGTTTGCCAAACAAGCATTGATCCGACGTGGCATACTCCTAATGAGACGTCTATGGTCATTTTGGTCCAGATTGTCCCATTCCTGTTGCAACGCAGCAGCAAGTTCTTGGACATTGGCAGGACGTTGTTGACGTTGACGTAACCTCTGTCCAAGCATGTCCCAGACATGCTCGATGGGGGAGAGGTCGGGACTCAGTGCTGGCCAAGGTAATGTGGTGATGTTCTGTTGTTGGAGGTAACCTGTAACGATCCTGGCCCTGTGACATCTTGCGTTGTCATCCTGGAAGATGAAACGGCGGCCATGACGTCGTGCGAACGGCACAACATGGACTGCCAAGATGTTGTCCTGGTAGTACTGGCCTGTAACACGCCCTGCAACAACATGTAAAGCCGTTCTTCCAGCAACAGTGATGCCTCCCCACACCATAACAGAACCACCCCCAAATCCATCATGTCTGATGACGTTAACGTCTTGGAAGCGCTCGTTTCGACGACGCCACACCCTCCTACGTCTGTCCAAAAAATCAACAGTGAACCTTGACTCATCTGAAAACATCACATTGCTCCAGCGTCGATTATCCCAGTGTTGACGATCCCTACACCAACGACGTCTTGCCTGAATGTGATGATCTCTCAAACAAGGGATCACGCGAGGACGTCAAGTGCGAAGGTGACCCCTATGCAGTCGATTCCGAATCGTCTGGCCACTCACTCTCACACCAGTGTCTGTTTGAAGACGAGCGCTGATCTGATTTGCTGTGATGACACGATTTATCAAGGCCAAGGTACGGATAAATCGATCCTGGGCTTGAGTTGTCGCCCTTGGTCGACCTGAGCGTGGTCTGTCCTGTACAGATTGTGTATCACGGTATCTGGACCATAGCCTGCTTATGACAGACTGAGAAACATTCATCGTCCGCGCCACAACCGCCTGTGTTGTGCCGATCTGTAGCATGCCAAGGGCACGTAACCTTTCATTTTGGGTAAGCCGACGCATATCAAAATTTGTTTTCTGGTCACTAAAACAATTAAACTGATGTTTCCACCCTGGAATTCAATGCCACAATGACTGTAACATTCAAAGTCAGAGTCGTGCAAATCTTGGGTTGGACCCCCATGATGATCCCAAGCATCACCTGCATTCCATGCGGTAGCTATTGGTGCGTTTGGGCGTCACATGTAACTGGAAATGTTTCTTCTGTTAGGTTCTATAGTGACTTTTTTCGTAGTCATTTGCATATTTTAGTATTATGCCCCCAAAATCAAATATCCCCTACTTTTTTTGAATAGTATAGTTTAAAAATATGCATCTCCAGATTTTGAGCATGTGATTTGGGTTGGATATTTGCGTTGACCATTAAACAATAATAAGTCCTAAACCTACCATAAATCTACTAGATAAATGTACTGGTGTTGAACCTGGTTGAAAAGCCTTTTGTAATGGTGTGGGTTTATAGGCGTCTGCTAGTGGTAATGGGCGTACTGACTGTACAGCACTAACTATACTACTAGCATCATCATCATCTTTATCTGTTGTTTTTATATCTTTCATAAAATCTACAATACACAAACTTGATCACATTATCAACTATCTTAGTTTTAAGTTTTTCCCCAACCTTGTGGGTTTTCTCCGGGTCCTCCGGTTTCCTCCCACTGCTAAAGACCCCTAGGAGCCAGCAAATTATTGAAATAAAATTGAACCATATGTTAGTCCCGAAATGATCTAGTTTGTGTTGAGTGGACGTTAAACCTCATTTCTCTCTTTAAGTTTTTCTTTTTAGTTTAAATTACCAAAAGAAAGGGACTGTCATTTGGTCAACAATCAACTAGGGTTTAATGTCCTAATGTTCTGTACTGATTGGGCTACTGAAGACAGGGATCACAATATAGTGTGTTATGATGGGAATTTTGCCCGGACAGCAGCACTGAAGCCTACTCTTTTTTTTTAATTCCAATTGTCAAGGATCCTTTTATATGCACCTCAGTCTTTGTCCCGTCCGAATGACTATACACTGTCCCTGTTCTGCATCACTGACAAGGGGGAAACCATGAGGGAAAATCTTGATGAGCTTATTAGAGAACCTAGGATTGTACAATGAATCTCGGGTTGGCGAGCCAACGTCTTACTCACTGAGACACCATGGCTCAATCCTCTCATCAACAATAGTGGTCACATCTAAGGCTGATATTCAAATAATCTAATTCAATATTTGAATGCTATTCGAATATTCAATTTAATAAATATTTGAACCATTTTGGGTCCACTTCAGATCTCTAGACACTATAAATATTCTAAATTTCTATATAGTTTTCTTTATCGAAACCACACCTCTCCATTCAATGACAGACATTATGATCTAAAGTGCACGAGTTAGACCATTCAATCACCCCACCCCCCTACATATATAAACTAAGCATCATCGGCGCTATTGTCCTCTATAGTATTAGGTTCGGATGTTTTATTAATCACTGTAAAACCATCTTCACTAGCCTGATTTAAAGTGCACATGTTAGACCATTCGATCACCCCCCAACATATATAAACCAACTAACCATCATCATCACTATCATCCTCTATAGTATTAGGTCTGGATGTTTTATTAATCGCTGTAAAACCATCCTCACCAGCCTCATCAACTAAAGTGCATGAGTTAGACAATACCATCACCCCACCCCTCTACATATATGAACTAACTAACCATCATCATCGCTATCATCCTCAATAGTATTAGGTTTGGATGTTTTATTAATCGCTGTAAAACCATCCTCACTAGCCTCATCATCTAATACTGATTGTTTCTCCGCTGTAGCTTGTATTAACATGTCGTCATCATCGTCAAATACACCTTCAAAACTGGTTTTATTCTCTACCTTTTCACTCTCCTAAAATTAAATACATTATTAAACAAGAGGACTCACTCTCATCAACATCCTGTGCTTCTGTATACCAAATTTGTTTCCATGGAAACACAACAATTACTAAATCTGAGAAATTTTAAATTAGCAGCGAGGACAACTAGTATAGCAGGTAAATGCAGGTATAAAGTTTATCAGATATGCTCAGGAAACAAAACAGTGTGGAAGAATGGACAGAGCCCTTTTCTATACACCTTTAAATTTATTTTGTTTGGGATAATAAATCGTAGATAATTACAAGTAAATATATCAAGTTGTCTAACTTCTCAATGAACAATGTTAATGGAAGCGATTTTACGTAAGCAGCAATGCTTGTTATTGTATCCATATATAGTATGTAAATATATCTGTGACTCATTAAGAAATAAAATATTGGATAAACTTTAAACAAACAACAAGTGCAAATTGGTCAGATATTACTCCCCTAAAAAACACTGACTACAGAACATTTTGGTTGTCATTTAATTTATGACACTTTATGTGTGGGATCAAGTTAGAATAAATATAAATATATTTAGAAAAGAAAAAAAATTGTTAAGAAGGTATGAAAATTTAGAAAAAAACATATCGAAGGTTTCCTATGAATTATCTATATTTCTTCACATAGCACTTAATTACATTACATGCTGAATATATTATAATAGTATTCATTAAGACCACTCAAATTTTGAAATTAGTTTATAAACATATCCATGTATAAATGATGACATACTGTACCTGATTAATAGCTGTATTAGACATAGCCTCATCTATAACACCTAGCTGACCCTGAAAAATAAATTGTATCAATGGCATTTAGTAATAGAAACTGGATGAATGTACTTAGGACACTAAAACTTTGACAGCTTAGAGAGAAATGGGGTTTAACATCTACTCAACACTAGGTCATTACGAGACTAATATATGGTACAATTTTATTTCAATAATTTGCTTGTGTGTAGGGGTCTTTAGCAGTAGAAGGAAACTAGAGGACCCAACCATGCCACTTGACTCAATAACAGACCTTAATGATTTAAAGTGCACCCCTTAGACCATTTGGCCATCCAACCCCCTCACTTTGACAACACTGTAAGTATATTCCACAGCAGTGATGGGATTTTACCTGTATATTCCGGAATTGTCTGAATCTTTTTCCGAAACGCCCAAAATTGTCCGGCCAGGGAATATGCCCAATCGGACATCAAGACATGGTGAATAATATTCAAATTCCAAAATTAATATAGTGTACTGAGTGTATAACTACCGTGCAACCCGATTATCGTTGATAATGGGCTGGATTGATTAGGTAATTAAGTGATCAACTATTTATCGTGTTATATCGTCTATACACCTATACCTTGATTAACTACTTATTCTGCCTTTATCGGACAATTCATCAAATCAATCCTGAACAAAAGCCATTGCTTCTCCTTTGTCGGACGATATATCAATCCAATAAGAGTGATTATAAACTTAATCTGATTAACCCATGATTTCTCCATTGTCTCACGTTTTAATCTCCTTTGTGTTGGACAATAAAACGTAGAAATTAGTCATATATGTCACACCTCAAATCAACATACATTGTATCCGATAACTTGTTTGTGATATATTTTTGGTGGAAGCCTAAGTTAAATAAAGATATTTCACACACACGCATATGCGCTTATATAGTTCAGTAATTAAAATGAAAGTACAAATCTCGCGAGACACGTGAAATTAAGAAATGTATACGTGCTGAATGCAATACGCCTGATATCCGAGAAAAGATTCTATTTTTATGTCATATTGTCGGATTTATGATCATATTTTGAATGGGGTTTATGTCTTTAAATAAATAAATAAACACGCTAAGAAATGTTGACGAATATTTCGATTAGAATGACATAAGTAGTTAATTGTTTTAGACGATAGCGCTTGCTACAGTCGAATGCAATTATTTAGCAGTTGGTGTCACTCGCTAGTTGTATTAGAGCGTCGTTAACTACGGTTTACGGCCAAATAAATTTCGGGATGTCATTTTTTTGCCTTCCAGATATATAAATCGAAACGAAGTATCAGACGAATGTCGGACTTTGCTGAAAAATGTACCGACGTATGACCCGAAAAATACGGTAATTTTTGGGGAGTTTGTAACAGATCGGCAGAAGTCGGCACGCTGCCATTCTATAGTATTACGATGTCATGTAATTTTGTAGGAATATTATTGACATAAATTTGAATACCATTCGGGGTTAAAACATGAAATATAACGAGGTGCACCTATTTTTTTTTTTACATATGAATCTGAATATATTTTGTTGACACGTGATTCTTAATTGTGTTTTGAAAACGTCTGCTTAAATTACAATGAGAGTTATGCCCCTTTATTTTCGGGAAAAAAAGTCTGACAAGAAATCTTTTGAAATCTCATCATTGTTCCACAGTATTAGGTCTTGTGTATCAAAGTACCTAATAAATGTACACATTTTTTATGCCATCTGAATAACTACATTCACCTATCATGCTATTGGGTGTCACAAAGTGAACATTTACAATTTCGATAGTGTAATTTTTAAAACTGATTTCTTTTACCTCAATATCACAGAATGCTAGTTGATTATTATCTGAAGGATTCCATACTAGAGCTGTTATTCTTAAACTTTTTTCATGTTTATGACTGAAAAAATAAATGGTATTATTACAATGAATTCTGGAAATAAAGTCAATAAATTTTAATACAGAAAACAAGTTATCTTTAAATGAATTGGGGTTTAACATTCCACTGTTCGGCACACGCCATACCATGATCTATGAGTCAAATTTTGCCCAGGCTGTGGCACTACGGCCTACTCTTTTTGGGAATTCCAACTGTCAAGGATTCTTCTATGTGCAATGTGTACATGGAAGAAGAACAGTTGAAGAAGAACAGTAGCACATTAAACCCTATTTCATTTCATTGCCGGGGATTTTATTATCTTTTGGATTATTTACACAGATTGGTTCCTGCTTATCCTCGGATGCATCACTGAAATCCAAACTTGTCAGCACTGTTCCAGGGAATCTTCCGCCCTCCTAATCTTTTCAAGTGTGGGGGTTTTATCGTCTTTTACTTGGATTTTTTATCATTTCATAATGGTTAAATTGCATTTTATTGTAAAAGCATCAATGCCACATTACTTTTCAATCATCGACACAAAATTTATTCATGTATTACCTTTCGATAAATCTATTTTTATGCCAGTCTATGATACACATAACACCATCTATACAACCTATAGCTAAATACTTGTGGTTGGGTGAAAGGGACATAACTGCTATTGTCTGGAAAATAAAATAAATTTGCCACAAGATTTTTATAACATTACAAATATAACGGAAACATGGACCGACATGAAAATTAAGTTTTACGAAAGCGCTAAAACTGAAGGTGGGACTCAAATTGTCAAAACTGCCAAACAACCTGTAAGTTCCTTGCAACATCATTATGTTCAGGAGACGACAACTGTCAAGACCAGTTAAATTAGTTTGATAAAGTTTTCTTATAAATCATTATTTTATTTTTCCTTTTAAATGAAGCCTGTTTCAATACAAGACAGGGCAGGGAATGTAACAGTACGATAGACACTTACAACTGGCCCCCAGATCCATTCACTTGATTTGATATTTTGTTGCGTATTTCTTGCAATGTGTCTTGAGAGAGAGAGAGAGAAATGGGGTTTGACGTCCACTCGACACAAACTAGGTCATTTCGGGACTAACATATGGTTTAATTTTATTTCAATAATTCGCTTGCGCGATGGGGTCTTTAGCAGTGGGAGGAAACCGGAGGACCCGGAGAAAACCCACGAGGTTGGACAGGCCACCCTGCAATGTGTCTTGAAAGCAGGTTTGTTTTATCAGTTTTGTTTGTGTGTAGTGCGGTCCTCCTGCACTTACTATTATATATGTATCTGATAAGCATAACAAAGTGGGACAAGATATGTATTTATTTTCTATTTTTGATGATATTGACTCCAGTAGGTTAGTGTGTAGTTTCTTTTAGACAGACACAAGCACCATTGAACAAATAATCAATTCAGTTTCAATGCTAATCCCTATCACAATTCTTAATGACAAGGCTCTACAATGCCACTGAAACACTCGCATTTGCGAGTGAATTTTGACAATGGCGACCAGATATTTATAAATGCTAGGTTTCTGGCGAGTGAACATATATCTTGAAGTTCCTAATTAACACTATAGCTATCTGTCCTTTTCTCCGTAAAGATAACGTAATCGGCAATGATCCCAGTCGACTGTCACTCTTGTTTACTTCCTGGTTTGAAATTGGGTCAATCACATTGTCCTCTGCGAGGAAATTCTCATTGCGCATGCGCTGTATTTATCGGAAGTTTATGAGACAGCTGACAGCATGGCTAGCAGACGAATCAAACCTATATCATCTTACTTTACTAGTAAAGTAACTTCGTCTTGCAGTGAGTCTCAGTCGGGGGAAAATGATGAAAGTCATGCTACTGACGCTACACGACCCAAACAAGCAAAATTACAAGCTTCGCCGTCTTCGTCTCGCAGTGAGTCCCAGTCAGAAAAAATGTTTAAAACATCTTTTATTATTAGTATAAATTATAGGACGACAAGTTGAAGAGTTATGTATGTTCACAATATAATTTAGCTATATCATACGACAAATTATTCTAATCTTCAGATTTGGCAACTGAAAATTTTGTTTGGCTAGTGGTTTTGAAAATTTACTTATGTTTGCACAAGTATGTTCAAAATGC